TCATCATGTTATATAATTATTATAGCTCTTTAGAGTGTGAGCTGATGGAAACCGACTTTTGAAATATTGTGTTTTAATACCACGTTTGAATGCAGTTTACACACGCTTTGTATCTCTGCATTCAATTTTATTCCCTCCCGTTATACTTCACTTATGCTGCTCATGCAAAGATAATTCAAGCTATAATAAGAAATATGTCACAAAACAGGACACTCTCAGAGGGAGTCTCATTCATAAATAATGGGCCTTTGGGATATCCAGGTGCAATTAGGATTTTCAGAAGTGGTTGGTGTAAACATTTTGTCGTTGGATTTACTGCTATAACAGTGACACCTCTTGTAATATTAATGTGTACACTGTCGCGCTTTCTTTCTACTTGTGTCTTAATGTTCCTGCAGTGACGTCCAAATGGAGCTTCTCAAACTGTGACAGGTGGAGAAATGCAGTCCATTCGAGTAGGTGTTTGAAGAGGTTTGGGGAGAAGGAATTGCTTTAGTTTGGGAATGCTGGTGAGAGTTATGAAACCTAAAAACACAAATGATAGAAGTTTCAGTTTTACAATATCAGGTCTTACAAGCAATGCAACATAGATTTGACATTACTTCATTATACAATTCAGTAATGAGTGTAATGAATTGTTTCTTTATGCATGTCTTTATCAGCTAGAGATCATTTTGATGGGAAGTTAATGAGAAAGAAATAACGTTCCTAAACATGTTGAGACGAAGACGTAATTAACCATTTTAGTCAAAACTTAATTAAAAAAAACCTTTCTGTGAAACATCAATATTGAAAGAATCTTAGTACATCTCTGAATCGACCATCATTATTACAGTAAATTGGTTAAAATGTGTTTTTAATGGAATTAAATCTATTAATAGATCCAATTGAAGGCATGTAGAGTCATATATATAAAAAACAGGCTCTGAGTTTACAGACGTCAACAGCATACTGTATATATATCACAATTGATACTAAACAGATTGGCGTTTTAAAGGTCATGTGTGACTTTGACAAAAATGAAATGTGCTCTGTAAATGGGAACAGAGACCGACTGCATCCATACTCTGTGTGGTATATTATTCCTAAAGGGCAGCCACTCACGAGCTCCCTCCAGCATTTAGCTCGCTCACTAACAAACTATCCTGTTAAAGTGTCCTGTATGCTGAAAAAACTCTTTTTTTAGTGGAATAAACTGGAGCCAGCTGGATGTTTGGACTCCTGAAGCTGTAACACCACTAAATATATAAACAGTACAACAAGAACACGGGACATGACCTGTAGTGTCCAGAGCCAGTGTGTCACCACCTCTACAGCTGATATCACAATGTCACCCTCTTTCCATCTTTGCTATCGTGACCATCGTTCCTCACATTATCGTAAAAGGTCACTTAAACTTAACTTGAATAATATAAACATTATTTACTTTAAAAACAACCATAGTGTTTGAGTAGTATTTAGTTGTCTGCAATCATCACTAGATGCCACAAAATCCTGCACACTGGCCCTTTAAGGGTTTGAGTCTCGAGTGTTCAGTCGATCAGCTACTAGGGGGCACAAGAGCTCCGAAACGAGCAGCTACTAACGTGTTTTTGTGGTATTTACACATCCAGCATTTGTTGTTTGTAAAGTTCAACATGTAAATAAATAATCTGGGGGGTTAAGGGATTTTTACAGTGCTATTGCACAAAAAAATGAAGCGCAGAGGAGAATCTCAGACATGAGCTCACAGAAGCAGCCTGAGTGTGAGGAGAAGGGCTGGAGCTAATCCGTGTAAGCAGCAATATATCTGAGTGCAAGCGTACAGTTTGAGCAGAAACGTGAGGGTACAGTTTCGAAGGAAAGCGTTACAAAATCTGAACATGAAATCAATTAGTCATACTCTCAAACTGAAAGACTTTTGAATTAAACTAAAGCCTCACAGTCTCACTGCTTTTTTCTATTCTTCGCTGTTATTCATAGTCTCATGTGTGAATGCAATGACAGGATTACCTCTGACTCATGTTTCTTTGTGTATGTGTACATACACCATATCTAACTACTGTACTAAATGTAATTAGTTTCTCAGACTTTATAGATCTGACAATCCTCCTCTTGTGTTTCAACTGATCTCAGTACAGTTTGTTTGTTTGTTTGTATGAATTTCCCTTTCTGGTTTGAGGAAATATGTTTTTATTTTTTTTACATACATTTAACAAAAATATGCCAATTCCACTTTCACCCGAACTAGACTTCTGTTACATTCAATTCTGCTAATCTATTGAATATGACCAGAGATCAATCAATACACTGATCATTTAAAGTAGATAAACTATAAAAAAGATTTTTGTCAGCATTTAACATTTTGTCTACGTACAGTAGCCAGGATAAACATTAGTGCTCCTTTGGTATCACAAAGAGGACTTAATGTTATCTGATCTGCTGCACTCACACAAGGTGACAGCGGCCTCTCCTTCACCTAAGCTCATTGCCACTGCAACGATTATCCTGCTGAATTCGGCCCGTAGGTCAAAGATCTGCTGTCACCACTTCAATAAAGGCCTGAGCGGCAAAGTGATGGACGCATGTTATCTCCCTCATGATGATCTCAGCCTGCTGGTCATAACCTTGATGCATAGAAAACAAGGTCATACACATACATGCACACGGGCGTGTCATACGATATAGTACATTGTTAGACGCACATACTACAGTAACATCCACACTTCTTATTTGGTATGGAGAAAGACTAGAACAGTTATCTGCAAATTAAACAGGAGCAAAGCAGTTTCCTTCCCATTCTGAACATAAAAGGTATGCAGATTTCAATCAGTGTGACACACACACACACACACACACACAGAGAGAGAGAGAGAGAGAGAGAGAGAGAGAGAGAGAGAGAGAGTAACAGAAATAACGTGCTGCCATCCTTTTTAATTCAGGACTTATGCTGACACTCTTATCAGGAACAATTAACATTTAAGAGGCACGTTGCCACAAATCGCCATTTCATTAATTAGGACTGCAAGAAGCCTACATTACATGTAATCTTTCAATAACAAAGTAGCTACAGGGGACAGCATAATAATGAGGACTGGAAATTATTTTTTTCAGAGGTCGAGGAAAATGAAAAGATAATGTAATGCAGAGAATAATGGATGGTTTTTAGCCATGCTAGTGGCACAGCTCCGGGTGTGGCAGTGTTGGTCGGTCGATCCACCACTTTGGCACAGAAATATCACCATGAAATTCTGTACAGACATTCCTAGTGCCCAGATGATGAATCCTAAAGATGGTCCTCTGACTTTCCCTCCAGCTACTGGATGGATTGTAATGTTTCCTGCAGGATGAATTCTAATAACTAAATTACTTTTTCTTTATCGCCATCATCAAGATCTCAATATGTTTTAATCTATTCTTTAGTTTATGACCAAATACCTGCAGAGCTACTGACATTCCCATCCGCCTCAGCTGTACCTTGTGTTTAGTGCTATTTAGCTAATATTAGCATGCTAACACGTTTAACTAAGATGGTTTACATTACCTGCTAAACATCAGCATGTTGGCATTTAGATCAAATCACTGCTGTGCCTAAGTACAGGTTGACCTTTCTGTCATTTTTTAATGCCGAAAAGTCATAAATGGGTTAAACAGACAGTCATACTCTTGGTGGCTGTACACTGGTTGCATTTTCCAGGACTGCTGACTTACTTTTACAAATCTGTGGGCTAGTTAACAATGGGAGTGCCGATTGTTGTGACAGCCCTTTATTCTGAAACCCCCAATAGTCCCAATGGACCAAAAACATGTTTGTCTGAAAATACACACTCTCCCTTGTTGCTCTTAATATTTTAGTGTATTTGGACGTGCAGGAAAGGACAAAGTCAGGTGACCTTTGTGGTCATAGTAACAATAATAAACAGAAACGGTTGCAGTTTGGTGAAGAGATGAAGTTTTCAGAACAACAGGTCTTTGGAGCAAAGGGTTTGCTTATAACAGGCTGTTGGACAAATGGGCTTTCAGCCCAATGGGACATTTTTCCGACTATTGGGGTTTTGGAATAACGGCATATTACCAAGAGTGAGAGCAGCTGTAGGATGGAAGACAGAGTTTGTGGTTTGTGTGATTTTCAAGGATTTTTTCCTCCATTTAGTGGATTTAGTCATTTGGCCAGCAGGTTGAAATATAATCCCATGGGCTGAACAGAAGTAGAGTATAACATTTTGAGGTTTTCCCTTAAGGACATTCACGCTGCACGAGATGAAATAAACCCATTACATAACTGAAGCGTCGATAAGAAGCCCCTGCATGTTTAAATGGTCTATTTTTGAATGAAGGTCTTGTTCTAGTGTGTGTGTGTGTGTGTGTGTGTGTGTGTGTGTGTGTGTGTGTGTGTGTGTGTGTGGAAGTTAGGCTGATGTTCCTTTTAAGAAAACCCCACCAGCACCCATTTTCTGGATTTAGTGTAAATCATTACTCACTCATACTCATACACGTTTGTGAGCATGTGCACGCTCACAGGCATTGTGCCATAACTCCTTTAAGCTTGACGTCAATAAAATATAAACTGTGATATTGAGCATACCTCGGCCATCAATCTGTGCTCAATGAAAGCTGCAGATTTATATCACTCAAATGATTCAGGCTATGTGGAGGTCAGTGGAGAGTGAGAATGGGAAAATGCAGAGGAAAGATAAGAATACTGTACTTTAAAGAAAAAATGTAATGTCAGTCACTTACATTGTCATCTGGTAGATGTAAACATGTGTTTCAAGGGCACACAATGCATGGTTGCCTTAAAATTTAATTCTGTCTTGCTCAGGTGATTTAAACATAGCACACTACTGTAAAAATGATCTCTGGGACCTAAATAACAACATTTAGAACAGTGTTTCTCTTATTTGTGTTGCCAACATGCAGTTACACTCATATGACTACATAGATAAATAAATAATGCTTCAGCAGTGCAACACTGCCCCCTGGCAGTGTCTGCAAGTACAAATGAAGACTCAAAGAAGGAATACTTTGTGATTTCTCATTTAATATATTGTCAGTAAACTAAATTAAATAATAAAACAGATAAATATATTCAAACAATATTTTCTGCACATACTTAACAATACTTTTAGACATTTTTCTCTTTGCCATTATATAATTATCCATTAACAATCCATTAAAATCCAAGTACCCAAACTAAACTATTGTTACACATAGTAAATAGTTTTATATCCAGGTCATGGAGGACCTTGATGAGGTTCATATATACAGCTAAAACCACCTTTACAAACTTTCAGTTGTGCAAAAGAGGTGAATTACATCAAACTCTCAGAAGTCACAGCAAGAGTCGAGATCACAGAGTGAAATTTCAAAATTTTTGGAAAAGCTCCATGACAGCGATGGTTGTGCTCTGTCCAAAGATGAAGGTTCCAACTACAATAGTTATGACTCCCCAAATGGTTAAAACCACCCTGTAGAGAAGAAAATCAGAGACATGAAGACAAAGACAACATCAAGTTAACAGGCAACAATATGAATCATCTGCTAAACAGTAATTAATATCACTCATCATAATTCCCTTTATTTAAACATCCTCATGTTGGATCGAATCTACTCTTGGAATTAACACATTGATGCATTTATTTGTTTCTTCAAAGTCCTTCTCTCTTCCATTTTCTTTCCTTCTTATGTGATAATGCAATCCAGACTCTAAAAGGACTTTGTGGATTTTTGTAATCGCTACTCTGCAGGATGTGACCTCATTACCATGTCTGTACGACCATCAGCAGGTCTTTATGTAACCCCCCTCTCTGTTAACTTGATTTAACTCACTTTAATCAGTTTCACTATATCGGTTTGTTATTTTAAAGTCAACTGGTACTAATTATAAAGAAAATATGAATTTCCTTGAAAGAAAAAAGTATCTATTCATTAATGTTTGTCTAAAAACAAATTGCATGTTTAGCTGACCTGTTGTAAAGTGAAAGAATCTTTTGGTCACAATAACAATTTGAATTAATTAACTGAACGTGTACCACTTGAACTCTGTCCCTGTTTTCCCTTTAATTCATATCACTGACATAGTTTTATCAGAAAGTTTATTAGAAGATAAGGAAAGGAATTTACAAAAGTCTGTACTCACCTGACTCTTGGAGTCACAGATTCAGTTTGCATTGTGAACACTAAGCAAAGACCTGTAAAACACACACACACACACACACACACACACACACACACACACACACACACACACACACACAACACACACACACACACACACACACACACACACACACACACACCACATAGCCAGGGTAACCTTAGTGAGTCAGGGCTTTATATAACTATAAACTTTATTTATGTAGCAGCATCCATGCAGGTTAGTCCAACTCATATCTATCTATCAACCGTGAACAAATATAAAACAGATACATACACATATTTTTTTGTTGTTGTTTACATACCAGGAAAAATAAAGATGAAGAAGGCGCTGATTCCTCCGATGACACTGATGACTTCACCCATGTCGGGGACGTACATGGCAATGAGGAGAGTGATGGTGATCCAGATCACAGTGAGAACGACTCTGCAGCGACTCTCAAACGAACTAGTGACGACTCCTCGACGACGTCTTTGAATGCGCAGCACCAAGTTCAGGATGACAGATCTGTTCAACACACACACACACACACACACACACAGAGAGAGAGAGAGAGAGAGAGAGAGAGACAACACGTTAGAGGTTAAAACATAAACTCACACAAAACAAACCAAGCTCTGCTGTCACTTACCTCCCCAGGAGAAGAATAATAGGATAGATGGTGATAATTGATATTCCAAAAAGTAGTCTGGAAATGATCATGACCACATCGTCTCCTGGATATGACATCAAAATATCTGAGGCGACTGCTCGTCCGAACGTCATGAAGCCGTACACACCTGGAGAGGGAGAGAGGGGGTGTGTTGTGGCTTTCAGGTGAGCACATGATGCACTGAGGTCTTAAGACGTGAACTCACCTGTTAGAGTGTAGATGAGTAAACAGAAAAACATGGAGAGCACAGAGATGATCACCCAGTGGGAGAGCTTCTGGTTCTCCATGCTGCTATAGATTGCTATACAGGCTTCATGGCACTGCAACACACACACACACACACACACACACACACACACACACACACACACACACACACACACACACACACAGACGCAGAGAGCAGTTTGTGGGGAATTACTTTTTTGTTTTTCTTCTGTATTTCATACTTTGTTATCCAGAGTCATGGAAGTTTTTTTTATAGTTTGAGAGTATCAATAATTAACTTAACATACCTTAATAATACATGAATATCTAGGGGATGCATTTATAGCTTGACTGTTGCCCAAATATGAATTGCATTCATCTGCTATGGCTGTATATGCCATGAACATGTGTATGTAAACGGGGGGGGCATTACATTATTGCAGCACATTAGTAAAACACTGAACAATAATATTTAAAGGTGATATTAGAAATCAATAAATTGTTTTATTTCTAAATCTTCAGACATTTTTCCAAATACATGTCTTTTTTAATTGAATCACTTAGTTTGAAATGTGGCCAAAAAAGATAATTAAATTACCTTTAAGATTATATTTAAATATATAAATAAAAATACATATAAATTAATAACCATTTGACACCAAACTGGAGTGGCCAGACATTTCGCACCCCTCTAGATCCGCCCCTGACTTCCACTAATGTTGCCTTCGTGTTGTGTACTTGGGTTGTTTTTAACTTGCAAATTACAGTTTGAGGTTTTTTTTGATTACGTTTGTTTTTCTTGCTTTTGCATTGTGTTTGTGAGTTTTGCTTTGCATTTCTAAGTTAAGCCTTTGCATTTATTGGACATATTACACCATAAATACTGGGAGGTGAGTAAAGACCTTCAGACAAAAGCACTTTATACAGTTAAAATTAAAATAATTTCCTCATGTTGGTCTAAAGTTGATACCTGGAAGCCAAAGCAGATAGTCGGCACGACACTGAACATTGAAGCCCACGAACTCAAACTGAAAAACACAGAAGACACACAAACATTAACTGATGCACACACAACAATGGCTGTATAAAGGGAGAAACCAATGATAAACACACACATGCATCCATTAAAAACGGTACTACTGACCCTTGGCTGTGCTCTGGAGTTATTATAGCAGGGTGGCTGTCCATCAGGTAATATTTGACAATCACCGCCACACACAGATATGTAGCAGCCAGAGTCCCCAACACACTGACACGAGGAGAAAACAGTTAAATCACATTAAAGCTGGATGTCATTCTGACTACAGATGAGTGCTGCATACCTTGTGTATTTCTGGATGCCAATTTCTTTTGGGATGGAGAGGGGTAGGATGATGAAAAGGCACATGATGAAGAGGGCAAACCGCTGGTCGGTGTACCAGTGATACGGCATCTCTCCTTCACTGGATCCAGTCACCGTCTCATATAAAGAAATACACACTGAGGAAGAACCAGTCAAAATGAACGCTGTTTATCAGGATACAACAATACAGAACAAGACTCACTGAATCTTATAAGTCTAGATTTATAAAAGAGTCTGTTAAACAACGCGGTATATGATTTTTAAATATAATAAATGCTTTGATGTTGGTGGATGCACATGAAGAATGATTAAAACATTCCTGAGAATATGTTTAAAGCTATTTCGTCCTCAGAGATCTCACTAAGTGCTTCATCTGCACGGTGCTCTGCGAAGAATTTCTGATCAAATTGATATTTTTAGGGGGGTTGGGGGAGTGTGTTTGTAAATCCAGTCAGATGCTTTGTTTAAAATTGGAACAGAGCAAAAACATTAAAGGGATTTGAAGGTTTTCAGATGGACAAAACGAAAAAATGTCTGTTTACTCTGATACTCGCTAGGATGAAAATTAAAGTGCAGATGATTTGTGGTCTGAAAGAGATTATTTTTTTGATATAGGAAATGGCTGCTAAATTGATCACAAACTCATGACAATCAACAACCAACTATAAAGTCTATTTATTACGGGAACCTGTCAGATTACAGAATATGTTTCACTAACATGTAAGTTCATAGATCAATTATATAGATTAGTGAATTATTGGTGAGTTATTATTATATTATTTTATAAAGATGTTTTTAATACAACATAGAATTCAATTTAATACCTTCAATACCTCACTGTCATCCAAAGTATGATGGAAAACCAGCAGGGACGATATGGCCCAGATATTATATCACATCCGGTACAGTAATTACTAATGATATTATTAATCAAACTAATGCGACATGTAGCAGCATAAAATGGATGGAGAGATTAACCAATTAAAAAATTATTAATTTAAGTTAAATGAGTTAAGTTAACTAAAATTGACACATTATTAAATGAAAATATTAAACTCCATAAAGAGGAATTGAACAGGCTGTATGTATGTATCTATGTATATACACTGATGAAAGAATCACATTTTAGTCCACAAGTATTTCAACAGCTCAAATCAAGTATAAAAATATTCTATGATTAACATCATAGCCAACCAAAGGCAAAAGAAAATGTGTAAGACTTTTATAATTAAATGTAGGACTTTTTAATACTTGTAAAAAGCCTTTTAAGGCTTTTCGAGTCCTTTAGGTTAATTCTGGACTCATCAGTACAACGGTTTAAAGGTTGTGTGGCATCTAACTGAACACCACTCACGTCTGTATTTAACAACTGGGAATAAGGCTGTGAAGTGTATAGAAGACCACAAAAGGCCCAATCTACAGCCAGTGTTTGTCCCTTCAGAGCTACTGTAAAAACATGGTGGTTCAACGTCAAAACAGCTCATTCTAAAGTAAAGAATCACATCAGGCATGGACCTGTATTTGATAAGATGTGTTCTCAGACATTAAAAGATTTTGTTATTCGTGTCTATACTATACAGACTTACTGTGAAGAGTGTGAAACATGTGAACAGATCAGAATCAGTGTTTTAACTTCTAGTCAATGAAATAATAGTGAAACTGAAACAACCTCAAGGACCCCTGGGGGTTCCTGGACCCCAGGTTGAGAACCACTGATCTAAAGCACCGAGGTCTTGGATGGGCCACAATCATTGTACAATACAATGTAAAATAAGTTAATTGATCACTCACATTTCTCCAGCTGGTCCTGCACCACCACCAGGAAGGCGACACATATCATGAAGAGGTTGAAGCAGAAACAGACTTCACAGAGTTGACCGACAGTTCGTCCACACACCTCGCTCACCACGTCCTGATAGGTCGTCTGTCTGCTGACTGAAGAGGCGTAGCCGAGGATCACCAACCCACTGATGAGGAAAACCAGAGAAACCTGCAGGGACGCCAAGAGGGGAACTTCAACTAAACCTTAATTTACACACACACACACACACCATGGATTGTAAGAGAGAGCCCCCGGGGCACAGGCACCTAAAAGGCCCCTCATCCTCTCGCTCCTCATGACCAGAAACATACAACTTAATGTCTTTTAGGATATTTTATAGGTAAACTGTATTAGTTCAAATATGCATCTGCATCTCTCAAAAAGAGAGGCTGTATAAAAAAAATTTCTAGGGCTACAAAAGATTTTTTTCATTAATCTGCGGATTATTTTCTGGATTAATCGATTAACACTTTGCTTCATAATTTATCAAAACAACAACAGTAACAGAAAATATGCATCACAATTTTCCTCCTCCTCCTCCTCTTCCTCCTTGCCTGTTTTGTCTAACCAACAGTCTAAAACACAAAGCAATTATAATCATTTTCATAGCTACAACCAGGAAATGTTTGACATTTTTGTTTTTAAAAGACTATTTAAACCTTTAGTCAATCATCAGAAAAGTTCATGATTAATTTTCTGACAATCAACTAATCGATTAACTGACTAATTCTTTCTAAAGTCTCCTGTCACAGCAGAAGGACAAAAGAAACTTGTGGGCCTATTGCAAGTTATATTTCCAGAGAGCAAAATTTCAAATTGCAAGTTATATTTCCAGAGAGCAAAAAGGTTATTCTGTTTATTTTAATGTCGGCTCCCTTATTTGTTTTAATCAGAATGTAACTGTATCCTGTCAGAGCAGAAATATGTGATTAAACTTTCAGAGGCTCCATCTCTGACCTCTTGGGCCACTGGGTCCATTTTCGGGAAAGCCCATCCATACACACACATAGTACACACACACACACACACTCAGTCACACACATTTTTTTGTGGCAGTCAGAAGATGCAGTGCATTGAAAGTTCAGGTTCTCACCTAAACTGGAAGCTTCATTAGAGCTCACCTGTGAAAAAGATGTGCCTCTTTCACACCCGGGAGAGACAGACAGAGGGGTGGTGAGTCTATACATACATACTGTCAAACTGACCCCCCCCAAAAAGCCTCTGAACAGCAACATATTTAAACATAAAGGTCAATAAAACCTCATGAACTGTTCCATTAAAATATTAAGAATATATCCCTGCAGGGCATTTTATATGCACAACAATCCTTCAACACATTTCATAAACAAACAGCAGCAGTGAGTAAGACTTGCAGGTGTTTGATTTCCTCACCAGCTCCACACTGATGGCGGTGTTCACTCCCCCCGCCTTCTGGAAAGCCCAGGGGAAGTTGAGCAGTCCGGCTCCCAGCGCGGACTTCAGCATGATGAACACCGCGCCGAACGAGCCGAGCCGCGGCGGGTCCGCATGGGACGCGGACCGGGCCAGCAGGCTGATGCTCTCTCGGGCCAGTTCCTCCATGATCCTGGACCAGCTCCGAGACTCACAGCACCGGGAGAGAGAGAGACGCTTCTACTAAAGGGGTTTTCACAACGCAACTAACTTCTCCAAAGTAGTCCAGATGGTCTGTTCATTCTTCTGAGTGTCTTTAGAAGTAAACCTGGTGAGTGGTACCCTAATATATAGCCCACACCCACGCCTCACATGGTCTAATTGGACATTTTGACTATTAAACATTTCACTCTGAGGTGACACATTTGTCACTACAGTGAGTATGTTTGCTTGTGTTCCCCCTCTCTCTTTTTTTTTCTTTCTCTTTTTTAGGTCAGTCTGTCTCTGATATTTATAGCAGGCCTGGGTCTGAGATAAGATGGTAGGCCTACACATATTCCATAAATGAATTAATAAACATGTTAAAAACATTATATAAATTAATGACAGCATGGCTGGATTAAACTGGGGGTCTCCTGGGTAAAAATCTGCTGCTGGGCCACTAATAGTCTACCCGGGGTGCTAAGACAATCATACATTTTCATGACTTTTAACATGAGTTATTTTATAAGTAAGTTCTCCTTTTTTCAATAATAGCATGTGGCACCCAACCTACACACACACAACTCAAAGGCACACACACACACAAGGCACGAACACATAACCAGGGGTCGGATTGGGAACAGAATGGCTGGTGACTGCACCCCCTAGCCCCGGTGCGTCGCCATTTCTGGGCCCCAGTTGGCCACTTTGCCAGGTTGGTATTTCAGCTTGAGAGAGACCACAGACTTTATAATTACAAATGGACGTAGTCTCTGTGACATTACCCATAGGTTTCTAAAAAAGCCACTGTGAAGCTCAGCGTGGCCAGCTCTCTCCGTCCTGACACTGCCGGCTCCTGGCTAATCCAAAAAAGGGCAAATACATGGAGCCGACGCCAGCTGAATGAAACATGGTTACTGAAACAGCCGCATTTCACTTGTAACAAGCAGTTGTGCCCTGAATCATGTATAACTTTAAAATAAATAAATAAATAAATAAATAAAAATTCACCCCCGCGTACAGAAATTAGAAAAGACAATTTTTTGTAAAATGTTTATTTCTGCTGTGAATTTTGGTATTGTAAAAAGGGGTTTTATAGAAATCGACTCACTTCTGGAGCCAGCCTCAAGTGGCCGTCCGAGGAACTGCAGTTTTTGTTTCTTTGTGTTTGCTTCATTTGCCACAGAGGTTGCCACTTGAGTGAGACCAGTGTGTTTTAGTTCTTCCATAGTATTTATATTGGGTGTGCGGTCACTGATATAATGTACAGTATCTCTTCTATTTCCGACTATCATTTATCTGTAGAAAGCATTTCAACAATCAACAACAGATCAAAAGTAGAAACAGTTAGTTCAGTCAGTGAACATTTGGTTTTCAATCATAACATAGACACCCTCTGTCCTTAGACCCTTGATTCAGATGAGGACAACAACAAATAGAAGCTTTAACAGAAAGTTACTGGACTTGCAGCTGACCAGCTGACCAGCTGCAAGTCATCAGAGAGATTGGATTAGACAATTGATTACTCTTAATTTATTTATTTTATGTTTATTTCATGTATTGACAGAATCATATATGATGTGCAGTACAGCTTACAGGGTTGTAGCTTTTGTCTATGTGATAAACTAAAATCCTGGTCATATGGATGGGATAGTACAATCCACTATAAAAGTCATAATCCCAGCCATGTTTTATGGTACACACCATCTGTTATAGAGCATTGGTCAAAATCCCATGAATGTTGTTCTGCATCTCACTGACTTTGAGCTGGCACAAGGAATCTTTCTTTTGCTGTATCTTAAACATTTCAACAGCTGGGCACAGAATACGAGGGCTTTGGGGCACTTTAAAAAGATTTCATAGTGCTGTTGCAGATTTGGACAAATAGAGATTAGAGTGAGCAGGAACAGCAAGGTGTTCTAGGGACAGTTCAAAGACTTAGTTTATCCTCTAGGCGTGTTGTCCTGTTTTAGTAAAGAAATCACCATTATACATTATAACAAAAGGACTTTGAAGTGATGGACCATCAAAAAAAAAGGATTTAAAAAACATATGTGGAGTTTTTACAATTAGCTTTTTTTAATGCAGAAATCATTTATGAAAACAACACTTTTGTAATTTACTTTATTTTATTTTTTATATATAATTATTTTGCCTGATAGTCAGACTGGCATCTGGCTAATAGTAGTTGACTTATCTTCATTAGTTTGTTCTCTTTAATTATCGGATTATTTTAAGAACCTACTGTAAAAACAATTTAAAAGTACTTTCTGAATGAAAATACACACAGTTGATGTTTGCAGATGTTTACAGTAGTACAAGGGCACACTGCTTTTATATTATACTACAGTAACACCTTCAAATGTGTTCATATTTCACACGTAAAATCAGTCCTGGTCAACATAATCTGAGGTTCAGTCAGATTTGAAGCTAACCTTCTCTGTATGTGGTGACCTGCCATGTTCTGTGCAGACTGTCCACAGTGTTGAAAATCAGTCCAAATGGCCAAATCAGGGTTATAATCTGGCTTTTAAACATGGAGCATTTTAAGTAAAAAAGTAGACAAGAGACTTTTTGACTCGCAGTCTGGTTGATTTCAGATCAAAATGTGATTTGGTACCTGAAACAGCAGCAGTTACTGATGCTGCACGATGGGGACCTGACATTTAATCAGCGTAACGCATGAATCTTAAAGAAAAATATAAAGCAGGATGTTAAATTCAACGTGCTGCATTCATTAACCTTTCACCTCTGACAACACGCCAAACAACCAACCAACCATCACTCACTTATTTATCCTTCTTGCTTCGAGGGCACTAAGACTGTTGTCAAGGGTTTCGAGGTGCAACCTGCTACAAAGACACATGAGATTAATCTACTCATGATTCTGCTGTTATGAAACAGCTTAAGAGCATTAACATTACACACACACACACACACACACACACACACACACACAGTCGACACAAAAGCCCATGACTTCAAGAAAAGTAATGGTAGCAATTTAGGGAGAATAACTCTGCATTGTGTATGTCAATATACCTTTAATTTAAGTTTTTGTTGGGTTAAAAAGTGCCACTCCATACTGCTGTGAAAAAATAATAATTCAAATAACCAAAAATCAAAAGATATTACAGTAAATGCGTTGTTAACGTGAAATCCAGTGAATAAAACACAGTGTGTAGTTGCATATCAGAGCTCGCTCAATATCAAAGAAAAGTTATACAACAATAAATAAAATCACAGCAATTGTTAATGTTATAAGGATCAAACGTGGGAAACTTCCCACTACTGACTTTACACTTTATCCTTTTATACTTTTTAGTACTCTGTAATTTTGTGTTGTTGGTTTTTTGTGCTATGTGTCCAATGTGTCCCACACAGAGGATGCATAAAGTCATTCAATGGATTAAAGTCAAATTTTACTGTAAATAGTAGTTCAGAATAGAAAAAGCATCATATAACTGCTTAGAAAACTACTACGGACGTTAAATGTTTTAAAACAAGTGATAAAATGCAACATCATGCACAAAAAAAAAAGAGAGAATGCTTTCATACAGAAATCTAATTTTCTGACATAAAACCTGTCGAACAGGGTGATGAATTAAACTTACAGCACAAACACACTGTTGTGAAAGCCTGTAATAACACTCTCCTCTGAATCGCACCTGATTGGATCACTAGCAGATCTGAACACCTGGCGTTAAAACGTCCCCTAAAACCTCTTTTGTCCTAGAAATCACGTGGTGTTACTGCAGTAGAGATACAAAATAAAGTGTTTACAACAAATATTAGCTTATAACTGTAGGGTCTTATTCTTCTGTCCCTTCATTAACTCCAGTCTGTAAAAGTATGACCGTGTAATAATACATGATGTGAATTTAATCACAAATTAAACACTTGAAATTGTTGTACAATCCAATTTAGTTTAATGCATAAATAAATGCACCAGCTCATCCACATAAGAAACACTGAACCAGATGTTTTGATCCAGTTGTTGAAATCCTTATTTTAGGATCGATATGTATTGTGATGAGCCTGACTTGAAGAGTGTTTACCCTCGTGTGATTGGATCGTAAGGGGGGCCGGACTCTGACGGCCAGCTGTCATTACTCTGATTAAAAGACTTAGCGGGTTAACTAACTCCTGAGCAGAAGTAGCAGGGTGCTGCATAAAGGGAACAACAGTGTGGTAAGGGTGGGGCTGTGCTTGTATGTTTGCCCTTTCAGTGTTTCCTGGTTGGTCTGGTCGGAGGTGGGAGGGCTCTGGGGTGCAGGCACAGAGCTGGGCGGGAGGGTGGTGCGGCTGGCACACATGTCATACAGGTTTCCAGAAAACTGTGTCTTCCTGGACTCTTGTCTTAGAGACTCCCAGACAGCTGCTGCTTCTCCGGGACAGCCGGCCAGAGCTGAGTTGGCACAAACGTGGAACGCGTTCCAGGACCTTCAAGGAACCGAGACATCAGCGTTAAGTGTACATAGAAATGTAACGGCTGCATCATTCACCAGGAAGGTAAGAAAGTAAACTAATACAGTGAATACACCTGAGCAGAGTAATTAACACTCCTAAAAATCTGGTTATTGCTGACATCTTGTGGTTTAACCCTTCATGTTTCTGCAGTGATGTACAGGAGTACTGCAGGACACCATTACATCACAGTTGGGTGTGTTTACGGGTGCAACAAAGCACACTTCAAAAAAACACTTTAAACTTCAAGCCCAACAGAAACAAACAATGCTTTACATCCTGGTGTTCAATTACTCTTTAAACATATAATCTTTAACTTTTAAGCCCTAGTTTTTTTGACAACACCCGTGTACTGGTGATAACAGAAGATAAGTTTTAATAATACTGGTCCCAGAGTCACATTCGGAGGCAGTAAACAAGCTGCAGCTACTCAAGATATTACTGAAACAGAAGAAGAGCATTGTTCATTGCATCATGTTTTTTTAAGTAGTGAGAGAGAATATATGTTCTGCCTGTTGCATCTGCAAACAACACTGATGAGACACAAGAGTCTGAACCAAATAAAGTTGTGGGCCATAAACCAAAAACAGTGAGTAATGAGACTGTCCTGTACGTCTGAGAGGAAGAGTTGGGTCGTAACTCTCTCTCTATGAGCACACATTACATCTGTTGTGAATAATATTATATATATATATATATAATGTTTACATTCACCATCAGTGTGTTAGCATGCTAAAATACAGCTGAAGCTGATGGGTATGTCATTAACTTTACAGGTGTTTAGTCAAAAGAAATTATTTTACTAGAAGTCACTAAAGCAAAAGTCAGGGTGTCACCAAAATGAGAAGGATTCATCCTCTGAAAACCGAGTAAATCCATCCAATAGTTTATAGTTTTAATTTATGGCAGTCGGGACCAAAGTGGTCGCCCAACATCCCTAGAGCCGCCAGCAGGGCTAATACAACTATTCATAAGAGCAGCTTTAAGGATTATAACTTTAACAATTTGGGACCAGCTGTATCAAGACAGACGAGGTGTTACTGGATGGTTACCACGGTGATGGGCAGACACACTGACACACACACACACACACACACACCTGCAGATTGCGTCAATGTCCTGCGTGTTTTGGTCTTTTTGTGTTTCCACCAAACTGTCTCCAAGTGTGAGTAAACACTGAGCAAAACTCTTGTAGATGGACCCACATGAAACTGGAATCGCAGCTCCGAAACACACGGGGATCAAACCTGGTGGAGAGGAAACGACAGGAGAAAAGTCTGAACACTACATTCAGATAATTTTTATCAAAACTGGTGTAAATAAATGAATGTCTATTTGGGGACATTGGGGATGAAAGAGAGAGAGCGACATCAAATCGATTTCATCTTGTGGAGTGAAACACATTGTTTATGTTTACAGAGACATGATCCATCCGGTGCTTAGACGGATCAAACAAATACAGAAATATGTTGTAGTCCATTCATCTGGAGGGATTATACATCCTCGAAGCCAAATTCAATGTAGGACTACAAAGCTATCAGCTGTTTGAGAGCTTTGATCAGCTCATACATAACACATCCTTCTGAGATTGGTTTGAGTTTGACTGGTATATTTAAACACTGATTTGGAGCAAAGGACTTCTGGTGAAAGTAGAATTTGACCGGAGCAGCATACAAGGGCGTGGAGGTGTGTTGTCTTCCTGTGCATGAGACGAATCCAGTTTGTTGTTGTGCCTTGAAGACATCTCTGGTCGTCAGCAGCTATGGGTAAACTGTTACACGGTCAATAGTTCACCACATGAACTCATATGTGACACCAAAATCACAGATTTTAGTCCCGGATTTTGTATCCTGACTGCAGGGACGTTTCGGCCACAAGAGCACCAACGAGGTCCAACACTGATGTTGGGTGATAAGACCTGGTCCCAGTTCATCCTACAGGTGTTGGATGAGGATGAGGGGTTGAATCTCAGGCCCAATCTATTTACAGAAATCAGGCATTTATTTGGAGCTATCAGTAGGCTACAGTGTGCACATCTAGCTTTCAGTTTGTCTTGTGCTTACTTTACATTCTCTTTGCCTTCCCCAGACTGTTGCCACATAGTTGGAAGAATGCTATTTTGAAATATATCACAGTATACTGTAGCAAGTTCAAAATATGAACAACAGCCCCCGGACTTAAAGGGGACAAGGGCGTCCACAGTCTTTCAGCCACATTCAACGTTTTACAACCAGTAGCACCAACCGCACCAAGAGTCAATCATTCATCTTTAAAACCATCTACTCACTAAATATTCATTACTGTAATAATTTAACATATCAGTCGGCCATTTATTTTATCTACTGTATTTATCTTTAACTTTTAGAAGTGATTTTCCCAAATTTTTTCTAAGGTTTACTAAGATCCGGGTCCCATCTATGCCCCAGAGAGAGACTGTCATGCCAAAGTCCAGCTGTGATTCAGCTTTTGCTGCCCTGGTTGTCCTGCATGACAAGTTTATTATTGTGTATGTATGAATGCACATTATTAAAGGCTGCTGTTGTAAAGACTTGTTGGTGTTTTATTCCTTTATTTATTCCTGAATGATGATTCATGATTTTACTGTCCGCAGACCATTTTGTGTTTCTCTTTAGAAAATGTACATGTATGTTAATTTCATCGTCATAAAGTGTTTCCTAAAAATGTTGTGTCTGTGCAGAGTAAATCCCAAAACTCGAAGTATACCTCAAACACAATAGATAGTAGAATTCATGCCAACATGATGTTGTACACAAAATGCACACACACACACACACACACACACACACACACAGGAGGAGAGAGAGACAATCAGAACATGAGGGGACAGTAAGCATTTCATTAAGGTAAGTGCATTTGTAAAACCTTTCCTTTTCAGAATTTCAGAACAGGCGATATGAAATACCCTCAACAGCCATTTGAACTACATCATTCTGACAAACCTGTTGAAATTCAACCTGAACCTCTGACAGATCAGAAACAAACAACAGACACAAACTGCACAACCAGTGAGAGAGTACAAAATGGGACAAGCAAGAGCAAACTCAGCACTTAAAAACTTTTTCCAGAAGACTTAAATACACACACTCAAACAACACACTCAGACAACAATTAAAGAAAGGTCCTTACTGAGGCAGAGAGCGATGGGCAGCAGCATCGTAGCCATTCCTGGTTGGGACTTTTGTCCCACCTCTGAATCAGAGGCTCTGATGTGAAGCTCCCACTGACTGTAAATCCAGAGAGTATAAAGTTGATGCTTTAAAATGTGATGTGTCCTGACGTCCGTTGGGAATTCATCAGATTGCAAAAGTACACCAATGCACAGAGGCACATCCCGGCTGGATTAACAGTGAAAGGGACCGATGCATCACAGAGAGTAAGAGGATGCTCTGTGTGTGTGTGTGTGTGTGTGTGTGTGTGTGTGTGTGTGTGTGTGCGCGCAACCATAGAGGGCTTGGAAGCAGCAGACCAATGACAGCATCACGGCACAGCACACTGGATTAGAGCGTTCTCATTTCCGGTCTTTAGTATTTAGAACATTTATTTGAAAATACAAATAAATTCTATATAGTATAACGGTGATCAGCACCCTCAGGCACCATCTCTGCCTTGTTCATACACATTTACATGCTGCAAAAACATGATTTTACTATTGAACAAGGGGCTTGTCACAAATGATAGTCGAAGGGAACATGAGCAGAAGTGTCAGGAGGATTTTCTATTTTCTATGTGGACAGATGGATGACGTCCCAGAGAGGATAAGAGAATCCAGCTCACCTGGGAGTCCAACGTTGACGCAGAGCGTCCTCTGAGAATAGCAGCAACCCACGTGAGAATCATCTACATGAGGGTCAAAAGGTGTTATTGAAGAGCGCTGTGATGTGTTAAACACTCTTAACTAAAGGATGGACAGCCACAAATTGAGTGATTGTAAAACATCCACCTTATTTACAACTTTCTTTAATTCAGCAACTGTCTTATATCCCCGTTCCTCTTCCTCTTCCTCTTCTTCTTCCGCTGAGCCTCCAAATCCCCTGCTACGCCCCCTCCCCAGATGGCTCACACTCTGTGCATGAGTATGTCCTGATTCATATGTACATACTGACACCGGGGAAATGGTAACCCATTGTTAATCTCCAGCTTAAAACAACCATTAACTGCAGAATAATCTGTTTGTGGCTGAAGCTGCGGCTCGGAATCAATACATCATGGGAGCTACTTTCTGAAAACATCTGTATTAGCTCAGCAGATAGAGGCTGTTTGCACATTATCACCTTCCAGATGTGGGCAGATTGATCAAACTGGATGTAAGGCATCTGTGAAAAACGATGTAATTCCACAGATTTTCAGCGATGTTTGAGCTTTCAGGATTTTACTTGTTACTTGTTACTTGTTACTTGTTACTATGTTGTTGCGAACGTATGCTTAGGATGCCGGGTGTTACACCCCTGGCTTCATACTCCACTGTACTGTTGAGGGCTTTCATAGTTTAGGCCCTTAGTTCCAAACAAGATAAATCTTAATGCTGCATATGATTAGAAATCATCATATTTTGAGATAAGAGTGTGTGTCTAACTTTGTGTTAAATGTTTGGGGGAGGCCCTTTTCTAATTAATCAAAGCGAGCTCTGTAAAGAAATGATTTTCCCAGTTTGATGTGAAATAACTTGACTGATCTGCAGAGAGCTTGACCTCAACCCTTTTCACCACCTTTGAGTTGAACTGGAACATCGACTGTGAGCCGCAGTAGCCAACAGCGCTGATGTTCTCGTGGCTGAATGGGAGGAAATCCCTGCAGCCCGCAGGTGCCAAAATCTTAAAGGAAGACTTCAAAGAAGAGTGGACGCTGTTACTGCAGCAAATTATTGCACGTGGTCTGGAAATGAGATGCTCATCAATCAAATATGGCATCCAGATTCATTTTGAGGGATGAGAACCAGAGGGGCATTTGTGACTCCTCTATGTTGATCCCATGTTTCTACAGTATCCCAGAAGGGACAAACCAACACTCTAGATAGGAGCTGGCCAGGTGTTGTCTTACCTGGTGTTTTCATTACATAAGTAGTTTAAAGTGAACCTGTTCTGACCCTTGAGTTTTCCAGTTAAAGGGTCAGTGTGTAGATTTGGGGGCATCTAGCCATGTAGTTGTACTCGCTTGCTTCATCTTCCATTTAGAGTCAGTGTTTGCTTTGTCCCTTCTGGGCGGCTATATTCAGATGATTATACACTAATGAAAACAAATATATGAATATAATATTATATTTCTGTCCGTAGATCCTCATGTTGCACACTGGACCTTTAATTTTCTTTTTTGAATCCCAAATCCTGTAGGCCACATGTATGACTTTCCCCAGTTGTCTTCTTGGAATTTGCAGTTTTTCTGCTCAAAAAAGAGGTTTCATCTACAGAAATATTCTTTATTTATCCTTATATAATAATAATAATAAACACGATTCATTCAAGTAAAAGAGATGAAAATGTGGATATTTTATGTAGGTACATTATCTGTGCTCCCTAGGGCTGACTATTGTTGGAAATGTTTTGGTTCAATATCTTAAATTATTTTTCCTTAATATGTAAAATTATAACTTTTTTTTATATCATGAACTTTTTTTCAATTAACAAAAGAGGGTAAAGTTTTGTTGCCTAAAGAGCTGTGCAAGAACTTAAAAATAATACAGCAACTGGCAAAATGTAGATTTAGATTTAGTAAATATCTACTCAAAAAGTAAGTAAGAACCAACTCTAAAGTGACCTGAGAGTTTCACTAATTTTATTGTGTAACATAGCAATCAGGACTTGTCGACATGGCTCAAAAAAGCTTCCATGCAGAATCTATGAGGGTTTTACTGTGACAAAGACCACAGTGACCGCAGCAGAGCATCGGAGTCGTCTGCAGGCTGCTGTCTGAGGCGCATGGATTCCCATTACTGCTCTATATTCAGTCAGTGTGAGATAAACACTCACTAAAAGCTTTAGGTGGACAATTACAGAAAGCACATGAAGCATGTTGCATATTTAGATAAATGTTCCTTGTTTAATATTTTCAATATAAAACCAAAACTGTCCGTTTATTGTTATTTTTCCAGCCTATTGTGTTATACCACAAATAATAAACCCTAATGAGATGTTTTATAATGGCACAGATATTATTCTTTTGCTCTCTTTACTTTATCTATGAACCTGTTCTGATGTCAAATACTGGATTTAAGGATCACATGTTACATTGTTTTACCTTAACCTGTTACATATTCCTCCCACAGAACGAGACAATCTGACAGGAGAAGCTATTGTTTGGCCTGAATATAAAGACAGTCGCGGTGAACGGCAGCAGCCATAGAAAGAGGCAGATAGAGTTGTGTAAGTTTGATCGACAGCTCTGGATTAAGGCATTATGCAACACTGTTGGGAGTAAAAAAAAATAAATCCAGATGAGATTAGGATCTGGATCCTCACTCTCTCCAATACTCTCTGTCCATCCATTCATCCGTCTCTCCCTCTTTCTCTGTTTCATGTAACAACATTATCACAATAAGGTGTTACACAGTTAAAACGATGATGGGTTGAGTAAGTGCATTACAGCTTTACATTCACATCGAGAGGTTCGACATTTCAGTGCTTTTAATACAAGGAACAATTAAGCAAATGACCATCATAGCTGCCAACCAACAGAGAGGCAGATAAAGCAAATTAGGCCATATAGACAGGAGCTAAACCTCCTCTCTTCAAGCTTTTATCCCACTGCCATCTAGAGGAGGAAATCATGCTGCAACATCTGTTGTGCCTAAATAAAAAAAAACATTTTACCCACTTGTTGTTTCTGCTGTGAATCTGATCTGCTATCAGCCTGTGAAAAGGGCAAGTAAATACCAATCATGTATACCACACTGTACTGAAACTATAATGCTGAAATGATCAATACAGAATAAATTCACTTTAAGAAACTGTCTTAAATGTGATTTATAAAGTAAAAAATAACAAATGACCTCCTGGCTTTCTAATTTATTAACTGTTAACTAAAAATAATTCATCCAAAGACACTTTTTTTTTTTATCCTCTGGTATCTTGTAATGGACACTTTTCATTATCGTATGGCCTAAACGATTCATTAGTTAATCTGATATTGTAATAAATCCTCACTGAAACATGTACAGGAACATCAGTGCTTGTTTAGTAACATTTACACACTTTACATCACACCAATGATCTTAATAAGGCAACATATTGATCGGGACCCTCTCCTAAGCACCAGGTCACCCTGGAGGTGTGTGCAACAGGGCCGCAGTGTGGATATCGGAGTTCATGTTTCAGTGCCATGACAAGTCTTCAGGAGTGAAGGTTTATATAATACAAATTTTATTACTTTTTCACAACTCAACACAGCTAAAAAATAATAATACTCCTGGTACTTGACAATAGAGCTCGTCACTTTTCTCTCTTCTTTCCTAAAAAATAAGTCCAAACAAGAGCTCCTGACAGATGATTCAGACGCAGATGGGTTGAGCTGAAAACCCTCAACTTGACGGTTAAAAACAATTAAAAAATAAACAGTCTGTTTCTACTTTGTTACTGTGACACTGGACAAAATCAGGTTTCATGAGCGGAGAAATCATTCAGCATGAATCAGCACTATTTCAAAATTAAATTTACTTCAAAATGAGCGCAGAGCATAGCTGTCAGAAATCAGAAATGTATTGAACAGGACAGAGAGATGCAGCCACTGAACGTCTGAAATCATCTGACCATAAATAGGCACATAAAATTCATTCATGAATCGCACTGAGAACAACAAGCAGGTGCGGTTTCACAGAACAACCTCGGGGGCAGACGGACATCTTCCAGTTGCATAAAGTAAAATGTTTTTTTCCTTTGCAATTTCTCTTGTGACTTCCTAATAAAACACATGTAACTTAATGCATACTTCAAGAAACATCCTTTAATAAGATCACACCTTTTGAGTGCCCCCTTCAAGTTTTTAAGGAATTTCTGACAAAGAAAAGTCTGTTTTTGTTGCACAAAATGTCTTCAGCAACAAAAGATAAAAAGGAAACTGAAGGTACCCTTAAAGGCAACTCAGATAAAGTCATGGCAGAGTTTTATTTAATTGACTACCACCATAAGTGTGCCAAGAATAGTGTTTAGTGTATATTGGACAACTTGTTCTGTTCCAACAAACCTCCTAATTTAAGCTGCAGGAAATAAAAACATCTTAAAGAGAAAAACGTTCAATGCAACGAGGCAGTTAAGAGCATCTTCCTCATGTGTCTGCCCATCAGTCTGGTTTTAGGTGTGTAAAGCCAGCCTAACTTGCAAGTCTGTGCAAACTATGAGTCTCTGTTTCTGAATGAATAATAACATGTGTATTATTGGCCTTGTTGTTTGGGGGGTTTGGGCTGCAGGCCAATAGCAGACTGTGCATGTTTCTAGGTAATTAGCAATGAGGTTATTAATATAAGCTACATAAACTAGCCAGCCAACTATTTTTACATCTGGCCTACGAAAAGTCAGTTTATACTTGTTGAAAATAAATTGTCATCGCTCGTAGTTTTATACAAAATAGGGCTGGATCTGCTGTCTTCAAACACCGCGGTGTCCTCTCTACTATGAGTCTCTCTCCGGTTCACCCATCAGACTTTCTTCCGGACGTTAAAAGCCACCGAGTTCCCGTACAGCAGCCGGTCCCGCTCCCGCACCTCCTCCTGCAGCTTGGCCTCGGCCACACGGAGCTGGCGTATGGTCGCCTTCATCTCCTTCATCTTCACCTCCATCAGCGCGATGATGTCCCGCTGCTCGTTCAGTTTCCGCAGCAGCTCCGCGGACGTGGTGCCGGTGGTCAGCGAGTACGAGTGGTCCAGCGGGCTGCTGGTCACACTGACGTACTGCACGGGCGGCTGGTGCACGGTGGACGCGGTTTCGACCGAGGAGTCGTCGGCGGTCAGCTCGTCTGCGCTGACGATCGGCGCGGTGTAACAAGTCCCCTCCGACTGAGCGGGCAGCCGCGCCGTACCCAGGTACTCCCCGTTCTGGCCTATCTGGACCACGGTGATGCTGTCGTCGCTCGCCTCTCCACCGGCGTTGCCCTCGGCTCCTTCGGCCGCGCTGCCCAACACTCCCAGCACGATCCCGGAGGTGGCTGCGGCGGCGGGGGCAGGAACCGCCGCGGACACTTTCCTGCCTCTGCCCCGCCGACTCCTGCGCTCGTTCACCCCCCGCAGCGGGAACAGCGACGGGACTCGGATGCTGTAGGTCTTCCTCCCGCCGGCGAAATGCACGCTGCAGACTCTGTGTCCTGTGGTGGGCTGGAAGGTGCTGAAGCAGCCGCTGACCCCGGCCCGGGAGATGTTCCTCAGCCACAGCTCCCTCAGCGTGGTGTCTTTGGGAAATGTGTAGAAGCGCAGGTCCCGGTCCCGGTGCGAGTTGTTGTAGCAGCCGGGGACACAGCAGGTGAACCCGGGCATGTTTACTCCCGCGCAGAGGCCAAAAGCACGGTCTTCGGATTAAGTTCGGGTTATTTTATTGTTGTTTCTTTATTCTATGCGTTGTTATAAAGCTCAGTGGCCTGCAAGCGGAACTACACGTCCCACAACGCTAACAACTTCCTGTTTATTTTTCACCAAAAGTGAGCCGCTCTTCTTCAGTGCGACGACCGAAAACCACCGACGGTATCCGGACTCAACGCACACGGAGCTCCTGCTTGTGCTCAATCCGACACTGATATTTTATTTTCTGGTGGTAAATGTCTTGTTTTGTTCTTCGCAGTGTTATCAAGCGAGACGTCCTCCGCTGTGAACTAAAAGTCCCAGAATTCCTTGCGCTTCCTGTACGAGTCCGTTACTAGACTAGCGCCCCCCGCTGGTCAGAGTGTGGTACTGCACCGTCGACCGCCTCCGTAGTCCACTGTGCTGTTTACATGATCAAATGTTTATAATACAGGCATAACAGAAAACAGTGGGGGGCATCTAATAGATACAAATGAATCACCTGTTTCTAAAGGAAATGTTTTATATTTATCTGTTTACATTCATTCTGATATTATTAATAAAACTGGTTTATTTTAGGCTCTACACACACTCACACAGGGGTTTCCAATTACCCCAGCCGATTAAAGCTTCAGATGCAATTTAGGTATAGCTAGTGATTTACCTGACAAACTCTATGAAGTAATAAGTCCTGTGTGTGTAGGGTCTTTAAATCCATAATGTCTTAATAAAGATACTGAACACATCTAAACCCAAGTTAGAAATATTCAATGTCCACCCTCAAAAGTGCAATTAAAGATTTAATGATTTATTGTTCAAATTAAGAGTATTACCAATTTTGCTGACATGGGCCCAATATTTACACTATTAGCCTCCACAAGGAATCTATTACTTTTGATACAGAACAGTGTATTTTTAATCTCGGATACTGTATACATAGATTCAATTAAAGACTGATTAAACCTTCTCCTCCAGCATACAGGTACTGGTAGCAAAGCAAAGCAGCAGGTATCAATTATTCATGGAGGATGAAATAGTATGTGTCCATATTCCAGGTGACAGAACTTTTGTTTAATTTGAATCCAGACCAGTAATTTGAACTGGTTTCCTTCCTGTTTTGTCAGATCTAAAACATTACATTGCACAGCCATGTATCTGAGTCTGTGGAAACCACAGGGAGGTAACAGCCCCAAATCTCCCCATGGAGGATGTACTGGTTTGTTGGTTCCTCACTCTTGTCATCTTTCCTAACATCCTCATTCAACCATTACGCCACCTGTCAGACACATTTGGGTAAAATATGCAACTGAGCACTGTAGGTTTGTGGCTGGTTGGCCTTTGTAGGGAAACAATGTTCGTTAAAGTATAATGAGGCCAGGCAATGGAGAGCAAAAAAGTTGGTGCTGTTCAGTCTGACTTCCATTAAAGACCCTGATTCCTCCTGATAGTGTGTCCTGCACACAAGTCAATCATTTTTGCAATGATTTTCCAGTTTTTGTGATTATTACACCTTACAATTTAGGTTTTTTAAGTTTCTGAAAAATGTAGTTTTCTAATGAATATCGTACTTACAATGTAGTTACCTCTGAGTTGTTTGTTCCCTTATTTCAAACATAACAGATATAAATTACTTCAATAATCTTAGAAATTGATAACTGTACAAATAAAAAAAATATATATGAAAAAATAACATTACCCAGCTCTTTTATTACTGTGTTGAATTTCAAAACCATGCAATTATATTTGTTAGGCTTTGGACTGTAAGATATAAGACAATTACCATTTAATTGGCATGTTTAGATCTGTAGAAAACATAACAGCTCTATAGCAGAGTTATTACTTTACTCTGACTGAATGAACTCGGTCTCTTTTTTATATTTCTGATCAGAAGACAATTCAAAAGACTTTTATTAAAATCAATATTGTCAAGCAAAATTGACAACAATGTCAACACAATAAAAAAATAAGAGCAAACCTCATTAACATTTGAGTGTTTTTTCCATATGATGCACATAATAAATGCATTTTACTAAAGTAGATTTCAGATACACTATACATTTAACTAGATATATAATTGTTGATGTTTTAAGTGATACACAATCATCATTCAATAGATCCTCTGAAGAACAAGTTCACTTTCTCTAGCTTATCTGCAGATGTGGAGCTTGAAGCCTTCCTGAAAGCTTTATCCCTTTGACATCTCCACATGCATCAGACACACACAATCCTTACCCTCTTCCTGCTTTATATAACTAATATATATATATATTTTCAAATAGTCTTCGGAAAACAGGTACTTTATATAAGGGGCATTACTGTCGGCTAATCCTAAATATAAACCAGACTGATAAGCCTGTTTAACCTCAGCAGTTGTTGCCAATATTATAAAAAAATAACTTCTAGAAATACCCTAAACTAAAAAAAACTGTTTACATTTTTCGAAGTAGATCTGTGCAGTGTACAGGCTAGCGCACTAGTGATGGGTCGGTCGCGAACGATCCAGCTCAAAGAGCCGGCTCTTTGAAGTGAACGACGAGAGCGATCCAGATTTTTTTCCCGTTTTTTTCCCTGTTTTTTCTGTTAAAGCTGCGTGATTGGTCAAGATGTGTGGTGGCGTCTGTGTATCTACACTGAGCAGGAGGGGGGAGGGAGGGGTTACAGACACACAGGCACAGTGAGCACACAAACAGGTGGGAGGGAGACCTGTGAGAGAGAGAGAGAACTAGGCGCTACATAAACAGAGACTACACACTGGAAGGTGAGGAAAATGAGTGACAGAAAATGTAGTAAAGTTTGGACACATTTTAATGTGATAGACAGTTCACAGGCAGAGTGTAGACTGTGCAAGTTAAACATTTCATATCGAGCAGATTTTTGTCTAATTGACATGGGTCTTTGTTTTCGTATTTTATAATTTATTTTTGTAGCACTCTGTTCCATGTTGAGTATATTAAGTATATATTTGCTCGTGGTGGTACTGTTGGGTCTCTGTAAATCTTATAAGGAGTTCGGTCTAGACCTGCTCTATTTGAAAAGTGTCATGAGATAACTTCTGTTATGAATTGGCACTATACAAATAAAATTGAATTGAATTGGTAAATGGACCTGTACTTGTATAGCGCCTTTCTAGTCTTCTGACCACTCAAAGCGCTTTTACACTACATGCCACATTCACCCTTTCACAAACATTCACACAGTGATGGCAAAGTCCATCGAACAGAAACTAACATTCATACACATTCACACAAAAACACAAAACATTTTGATATAATGCATGTATTTGCATTAGATATTCATTTTACACATAATTTGGTAATAAATTAATTTAAGCAACGAAAAATCTGAGGAGCCACTTGGGAGCCGAAAGAGCCGACTCTTTTTAGTGAGCCGAGCCAAAGGAACCGGTTCTCTAAAAAGAGCCGGAATTCCCATCACTATAGCGCACTGAATCATGGGAAACCCGCTGACCGACCAGAGACCGCACCTGCTCCAGGGGCACACCTATATTAGTTAACGTACACAAGTCATATCATGTCACCTTATTTTATCTGCAGAATAATTTACTTCACGTGTGTTATAAGTCTACGTTGCGTGGAGCCGAAGAACATCTAGAGGACCAAAGTATCCCTTATTGGATCCTCCGTTGGTGACCACTCTCCAGCCTGTAGTGTCTCAGTCCTCCGTTGGTGACCACTCTCCAGCCTGTAGTGTCTCAGTCCTCCGTTGGTGACCACTCTCCAGCCTGTAGTGTCTCAGTCCTCCGTTGGTGACCACTCTCCAGCCTGTAGTGTCTCAGTCCTCCGTTGGTGACCACTCTCCAGCCTGTAGTGTCTCAGTCCTCCGTTGGCGACCACTCTCCAGCCTGTAGTATCTCAGTCCTCCGTTGGCGACCACTCTCCAGCCTGTAGTATCTCAGTCCTCCGTTGGCGACCACTCTCCAGCCTGTAGTATCTCAGTCCTCCGTTGGCGACCACTCTCCAGCCTGTAGTATCTCAGTCCTCCGTTGGCGACCACTCTCCAGCCTGTAGTATCTCAGTCCTCCGTTGGCGACCACTCTCCAGCCTGTAGTATCTCAGTCCTCCGTTGGCGACCACTCTCCAGCCTGTAGTATCTCAGTCCTCCGTTGGCGACCACTCTCCAGCCTGTAGTATCTCAGTCCTCCGTTGGCGACCACTCTCCAGCCTGTAGTATCTCAGTCCTCCGTTGGTGACCACTCTCCAGCCTGTAGTGTCTCAGTCCTCCGTTGGTGACCACTCTCCAGCCTGTAGTGTCTCAGTCCTCCGTTGGTGACCACTCTCCAGCCTGTAGTATCTCAGTCCTCCGTTGGCGACCACTCTCCAGCCTGTAGTATCTCCGGCGCTCCGCTCACTCCCTCCGTTGCTACTGAAGTTACCATTAGCAACTGGGCAGCGCCCGGCGGAGCACCTACAACCGCTGTCGATGTTGTCCTGGTAGATTCAGTAGGTACGTAAAGTTACATTTCCTTACGGGTTGTTTTATGTCACGTTTAAAAGCTCGTTAGATTAGTTAACTCTAACTATAAACTACTGTTAAGTACCTAACGTTACGTTAATGGGGGATTGATGAGTTCGCTTTGCGGCTGTCTGGCCCGGCTAGCTGAACGTGCTAGCTAACAATATCACTATTAGTTAGCTTAGTTTGCAGTGTGAACCTTAAGCTAACCAGCATATATTAGTTGAAGCAGTGGCCACTTCCCGCTAACGTTACTTTATGGTTTCGTAACAATGATGGCTAATGTTCAACCACCATTGATCGCGACAGCGACACTTTGGTGTGGCATGGCTTTGTTATCTGACCATCCGACAGCAACACAGCACGGCTAGGTTGCTTTACACTGTGTGTGTGTGTGTGTGTGTGTGTGTGTGTGTGTGTGTGTGTGTGTGTGTGAGAGAGAGAGAGATATTCAACTGCTGTGAGTACATGTATGTTTGTTTGGCTCACGGTGTCTGAGCCCTGAAGGGAAGCAGGGTGGAAAAAGAGAGTATTTTTAGGTTACATAGGTAATGCAGGTGCACAGGCTGTGGCTCTACAGTGTCAGCCACTACAACGCTAATGTGAACGTCAGATACATACACATTATTCATAACCTCATTAGAGCTCATCCCACCCTCATTCTCTAAAATAAATAATACTGTGGGCCGGTGCTCCCAACACACAAGCAAACTGTGGTCTAAGAATTACATGGATGACTTAAATCCACACAACAGTTGCAGGTCCTGATAGTTAGATTAGGTAAATGTAGTGTGGGAAGGGCCTCAGGGGAGTTGAGCCACACACCATTTCATATTTAACTTACTAACCAAGTCAAGGATGAATGCTATCTATTGTGATTAGATAAATTGTTGATAAATTCAGCTGTTTTGTGGGCAGGTTTTTGTACATAAATGCCACAAACTGATTGTTTAACCTGGATACGGTCGAACAACACACAGACATGAATTACACTTGCTTCAGAGGTAGAGATGACGTTGACTTTTGGTGGGTGTGGAACATCTGAGGAATGGCATGTTAACTATGTAGCAGGACACAATGCAAGTAGCTGTCACAGACTGCTGATAAGAAAAACTAGTCTAGACCTCCACTGGACATGTTAGTCCTGTTTGTTGGTACAGTCAGTAGAGCTGGGAGATAAATGGATAATGTAGATATTGTGCTATGAGACAAGTTGGTGTCTCTGGTTTTGGTTATTGTAACATTTTGGTAAATTAAATGCCTTAATGTCTGGTCTTAAATCCTGATTACAGTAAAGTGATTTTCTGAACTTGTTTAACTGCTTTTGCTGAATGAACAATGCATGGTCATTATTGCACACGTTACGTTTAAGTATTTCATGGAAATAGCCTAACATTTTGTCCATGCCACCTGGCTTCATTACTCTTCTTTTATTTTTACAGGTACAATAAGCTCTTCTGTATTTCCAGAGCTGTAAAGACCGTGACAGACAAGTGAATCGTAGGCTGTTGGGATGTTTGTGAGGCTGGCCATGGTTAATACGTAAGGTCGCAGTGAGTGGCACTGCCATGTTGCCAGGAGTCGGTGTTTTTGGCACGGGGAGCACAGCCCGAGTGCTGGTCCCATTGTTGAAAGCTGAAGGCTTTGAGGTCCATGCACTCTGGGGGCGAAGTGAAGAGGAAGCGTGCTGCTTGGCAAAGGAGCTTGGCATCCCATTTCACACCAGCCGATCTGATGACGTCCTGCTGCACCAAGATGTTGACCTCGTCTGCATCTATATTCCACCCTCAATGACGAGGCAGATTGCTGTCAAAGCACTGGGTAAGCAGAGCCTACATACATGCAGTCACTTCATCCCAAGCCATAAAACATACAGCATTACTGTAAAAATATATTCTTTTATTTTACATAACAAATTTATTTGAATGATAACTCTCAAATAAGATCAGTTTTCTTCCTAAACACCAGGTTCAGGTCTCGCAGTCCAGTTTTCACTTTATTTGCATCTGAGTCACAAATTGCTAATGTGGACTGACCCAGTTGGGAGTGGCGGATCGGCTCTGGAACATATTTGAAATGTTTGGGCCTGTAATGACAGTACTCCCCAAATGATGCATATACTGAAAATGGCTGCATTCTTTGGTAACATATTTCTCAGGGTTTATGCTTGATATGTGATTAACGGTGATCATAGCCATGGCCACAAGGAACGTACTAATTTGAGAGGGGAAAACCCAAAACAAAAATCTTGAAATTCCCCACATCTCACATCTGTTAGAAACACACCGAAGCAAACACAATTAACAGATTGCCGTTATCAGAGGAGAGCAGATCTATTAAGTTAACTTACTGTATCTGATGGAATTCCTGAGTGTTGACCTCAGCTTCCTGTTTTAGTTGTAACTTCCTGAGTGTGTCCCCACCAAAGGACTTATCCACTGGGCTACTTCCAAGGGGTATTGAAGGCCGTCCATCTCCATATATAAAAACTATGTACACTCTCTGCGTTATCACATGTGGAGAAAGTTCACTTTTTGTTTATTCATACCAAACTCTCGGAGCTGGGCAGTAATGCCATCTAAGGCAATCAACTCCACGGTGGGCCTGAGCACTGAGAGACCACCCTACACCTTCATGTCATATTTAATACACACACTAGCTAAAGCAAATACAGTCCAGGTTTCCTACACATCCTGGAATACAACAAATATATAAAATAAATTTTTTCATGCGTTTTAGAGGCATTTAATAGATTAGGCTGCTGATTTCTATTGCTCTATTCTGAGAGCTGTTTCTAAAATGTTGTCTACCCTCATTGATACAAATGGAAATAGTATGCAAAATATAAACTGTGTAAAACCTTGTTTCATAATTAAATGCAAATTAAGAACCATAGTGAGTGAACACGATGCTCACCACCTTCACCAGCAACATAAATGATTAATTCAAAGGAAATCAATTGTTGAACCTTTTTTTGTTGTTGCAATACAAGACAGGCAAACATCATAGAAGAGATTGTATCTTTAAAATTTAAAATTCCAGTTTTCATTGTTCACCTCAAAATTATTGATCAGTTTTATCTAAATAAAATAACCCCCATCTTTCCCTCCCTCTCTCTCTCTCTGTCTCTGCAGGTATAGGTAAGAATGTTGTGTGTGAGAAAGCTGCAACAGCTGTGGATTCATTTAAGATGGTGACTGCAGCCAGATACTACCCCCAGCTGCTCAGCATTATGGGTAACACCCTGCGCTTCCTGCCAGCTTTTGTTGCAATGCGGCAGCTGCTGGTGGAGGGATATGTTGGCGAAATGCAGGTGTGCGATGTTCGAGTTTATGGCCCCAGCCTCCTGGATCAGTCGTACGGCTGGACATGTGAGGAGCTGATGGGAGGAGGCGGTCTGCACACTGTTGGCTCTGCCATCATTGACCTTTTAAGTTACCTAACCGGTGCACGAGCCCATCGTGTTCATGGCTTGCTGCGGACCTTTGTACAACAAAATGGCTTGATCCGAGGCATCCGCCGTGTCACCAGTGACGACTTTTGTTTCTTCCAAATGTTGATGGGGGGAACTGGGTCGAGCTCTGGTGGCGTGTGCTGCACTGTGACCCTGAATTTCAACATGCCAGGGTCATTTGTGCATGAGGTAATGATAGTTGGATCCACTGGGAGACTAGTTGCCAGAGGGACAGAACTGTATGGTCAGCGCAATGGGAGTAAAGGTGAGGAGCTGTTGCTAGGCGACAGTGGGTGGGTGGGACCAGAGGTGAAAGAAATGCCCCTGCCTCACCTGCAGGGGCTGAGCTCCATGGTGAAGGCACTGAGACAGTCTTTTCAGGCTCACGAGGAGCGCAGGTCGTGGGCACGAGGACCGGTTGCCATGGCACCAACATTTGAGGATGGTCTGTATGTGCAGACAGTGGTCGAGGCAGTGAAACGGTCCAGCTGTAGTGGAGAATGGGAGTGTGTTGAGATCATGAGTCAAGAGCCTGATCCGAACCACAACCTGTGTGAGGCCCTGCAGAGAAATAAGAACTAAATATATTTATACACCCAGTGCAACTACTACATGTGTCTGACGAAACTGGGCTCTGAATGTGTTTCCTTTTAAATCTGCTGCGGAGGCAGTTTACATCACTATGACTACTTTTTGCTTTTTCACATTTTGAGGAGAATATTTTGGTTAAGGAAACATTACTGTGTTGTGGATGTTTGTACACTGAACTTGTTAACCACAGCTCCATTATTCTGATTCTCAACAGAAAACATTATAGTAGCTCTATATTAAGTTTAAGTTGGTCAAAATCTACCTTTGTCCCATTGACACGTTTATTACCTATACCATGCCAAAAAGAAGACACAGTACTTATTCTCACTGAAGCTTGAAGTCAACACTGCAAGTTTGCAAATAAGGTTGATATACGTCACCACACCCACGTCAAATATTGGCAAAGTCAAAAAACTTGTTTTCAATGGATGTCTGACCATTGCCTTTATTCTCACCTGTAGAAGCTTATCTGGATACATTTTCTGTATTTTAAGACAAATACAGGTTGTTGTATTTTACTGATAATCAGAGCTAGATCAATCATCTTTGTGATTGAACAAGAGCACAGCTCTTCTTGAGGTATGCCAGAGCATTTTCAAATATTTCTTCTTTTAATGTTTTTGTTTTTTTTGAAGATTCAGGCCAGAAAAGGTGATAGATCAATAAATTGTTGACAAGGTATCAGCACTATCAAAACAAAGTGCATAAGCATAATACTTTCTTCTAGTTTTGGGTCTTGAATTGTTGAGAATCACAAGTTGTTTTTTTGTTTTTTTACTGTATCGTAAATGATCACTTATCACTGTAAGTGTACAGTCTAACTGAGAAAAAATGTAATCTCTGTTGTTCATAACATTAAGATGTTGATGTTAATTTATACCCAACCCCAATAGCACCTTAATCTGAAAGAAAGTGTTTGCCTCAGACAAAGCATGAGGATGATTTGACTAACAAAATACTTTGACTTTCAGTGTGGTGACTGACAGAAACGATGGTTCATTGGAGCCCGATCTCTGTTTCAGATTGAAAATAATGGAGCTGTGCAGAGTTTAGTTTTAGTCTTTAAGTGTTCGAATGTGTAATAATAAGCATACATTTAAAAAGTGGAAGAAATTGCAAGAGGGGCTTGTAGGTTTTTATGTTACGGCATGCTATGACAAACATAAGATACCAGGGATTGAGTAAAATAAGCTATGTAGAAAATAGAGTAATAAAGTCTAATTTGTAACAACGCCCCTCAAAGTCCCCAAATGTCAAGGTGATACTTCTGCTTATCTTCACTCTTTTGTTTGAGTATCACTTTTACACTGTAGGCTAGAAAAGGGAAGCTTCCTTCTTCACAGACAGCCACTGTGGTGAGCTAGAATTCATGTATGAATTTCAGTGGTGACACATTTTAAAGTGGGGAAAATTGTATGTTCATCATCATCAAATATACTACTACCAAATAAATACACAACTTCAATAAGCTTCAAAGAGAGTGAATAGTAATATATTGGGTAAACATTGGCTTATGGACATATAGGACAGAGGTGTAATGGATTAGACTTCAGAAGGATGTTTGGTACCTGTTTACCTCTGTGAAAACGTGTCACCAATAGTAATGAATATAACCTTTTGTAACTGACTGTGAAGAAGGAAATTACCCATTTTTAACAGCCACCTGTGAAGCACAGGGAGATGCTGAAAGGGTTGATTTTAGGTGGAGTATCACATTAAGTCTTACATTAGCAGGAACAGGCTTGTGTCCTAGAAATTACAGATTAGTGACCTTTTATTGTTAAACTAATAAAGTTTTAGATACAAAGCCTGAGGGTATTTGACAACTAAATGAGTTTAAAATGTGTGTAAAAGGTTTGTTTACATGTGCTAACCATTGAAGTAATTTTATGTTTTTTATAAGATTTTTTTTCATGCAATCTATGCATTTAAAATTAGTAGAGGGCCACCATCATCCTGAAACTTTACTGATCTTTTCATTGAGTAGAACCACTGGATTGTGTGATAGTATAAATGTGTGCCTCTAAAAAGCTCAGACCAAGAGAAAGAAGTGTTAAACAGTTTACGGTTGTTGTAGTCACTCACTGCATCTCATTACTGCTTAATATCTTAAATAATGCTCCTAATGCAAAGACAGGAGGCGTTTAAGACCGAAGCAGTTTACTGGTTTGATTTGGTCTGTTCCCTTCTTAGACCCACGCAGGATCTGCAGATAAGGATACATACACATTACATGCTTACCTCACGCTATCCCAACAGTGCTTTACAAAAACAATACATCAAGTTTACATTAAGTGTCTTTATAAAACTCATCACATTTGCTTGCAGGAAGCTCCATAACCCGCTACTATTAAAATACATTCCAACTGAGTTTTCACCTTCTTGTTAACAGATGGTTTTTTTTGCACTGATAACTGATAAAATGCCACATATTTAATATGCAGTGTGATATTTGTACCAGCCAACTCACTGCAAAAAGAATTTAACATTTGTCTGTATAAGTAAGACTTTTTGTATTTATTTATGTCTTGGTGTGGAGAAAGTTTTCCATTGTTTTTTTTTTCTGTTCAGTGTTTGTGTTTTTTCAGCCTGTCTGTGAATTTCTGTTTAAAGCTGTAATATTTAAAGTGTTGTTTTAATTGACAATATGGCTTTTTGAGCACAATGTGTTGCATTTATGTTGGGAAGCTGTTCTGTTAATCTGCCTGACAGACAATTCCTTTAATAAATACAGTTGTATTAATTCAGTGTCTTTGGTTGGACTTCAGTTTATAGATCACCACTCAAAGGTGATTGTGTTATAAGTTATGGTTGAAGGAAGTTAAACAGCTGTTAGTCTGCCCCTGATATGATATGGGTTAAAGAATATAAACACCTGAAAGGTTAGGTAATGCTGCACCGCTCACTCACAGGATTAGATTGATTTTGTTAATTTATATAGTATCTATCTATATAATTTTATTTTTCCTCTACTATTGTGTAACCTTAAGTAATTGTAATTTATGCATATACTGCTTATAATAAATAAAACTGGTTGCAGATAAGTTACAACCTCTTAAGTGACAACAGTCACACATGTCCCAGCCTACCCTAAGGTAGTGTAAATCAGAATGTCACACAATTACACTCACTGATGGTAAAACAGCAGCTGTTCTGCCACACAGCATTATTTTTTTAATTAATTGTAGCCATTTTGCGACACAATCAAGTAGAGACCTAATTGATTAACGTTATATCCTAGTATCGATCTAAGTTAATTTACTACGACGTGCCAGCCATGAAACTAATGCGCACTGTTGCCATGGCGATAGAACAGTATCTCGATCGTTGATTGGCCGCTTGTCTTAGTTATGACTTTATGTCCAAAACTGGCTAAATTATGTCCCAAAGTGGTCGTGGTGCAACCGGTTTAAGTAGCTGGTTTAGTTACAAACTAACTACTAATTACTAAAGGTATCTAGTGTCGAGTTTACACCATTTACTAAAGAGAAAACCGAGAATACAACCCAGTCCTGATGTTACACACGCCGGTAGGTGGCGGTGTGCCCCTATACCCGCTGGTCTTCGGTCCTTTATTAAACCAGAGAAGAAGAAGAACAACAACGTAAACACAGCTAACATCCATTGACTGTATATGCTAACATCTAACGCTAATGATGCTAATTGCTACCAGCCAAACTAAAAACCCAATAGTTTAAAAAATAAGAAAGAAATATTAAAAAATAAATAAAATAAAAAAACAATAGCGAGTATTGTAAGTTAAGGGTAGAGTATGTCAGTGGTAGCTAGCAGGCAGAGTATGAGTATCCCGTGATAAAGCTAATAATAAAACTACTGTGGCTCCGACCGATAAAAACAACATGGTCCGTAAAAGAAGCGTAGCCTGGGGCTTTTTTAACACCGTGGACGCAGAGTCGGTGCAGTGTCTGCTCTGCCGGGGTCTGGTCAGACATGGTCAGGGTAACAAGGGCACCACCACGAACATGCTGAGACATCTTCGTGTCAAACACCCCGCCGAGTTCGTCAAAAAAATCAAGGGTCGTTTACCTGAAACTTCCTCCATCGATAACGGTGCCCAAGACATGGAGGCGGACAGTGAACAGTTCTGCTCCGGTATGGATACTAAATCATATGCACCTGTTTTCACTGCAGATATTTATTTGACTTGTCATAGTAATAAAACAGAGTAATTAACCAACCCAGACATCATTACTGCTGCTACTGAGACATATTAGTTACAGTGAACCTGGTACACATGAGCATCGTTTAAACGCCCCGTGGCTGCCATTTTACTTTCAGATATAACCGAATTATGTGTTTTTTGCATTTTATCTCCAGAGTCAACCATGATACCACAGGATAGGTTAGGTTATAACAATCAATAACATATTCATCATCATAAACTGCTCAGGTGAATAGTCTGAAAACATCAAACTATCTGAAAGTGTCACATCAGGCTCTGAGAACATGTGATTTGTGTTTTATTAATGAATTATTTAACATCTTTCTGATAAGTTAAACACTGACCAATTCATCAGTTATTTACTGCCATAATTACACCTTTTGTCTTCCTCTTATTTAGTGGAAGTGGCGCTGGAGGATGAGACGTCTGAAACCCTCACCACCGGGTATGAAGATGACGTGACTTCTAGTATAAATGGCATTGTGGAAGCTGCACAAGAAGGTCCAGCAGATAAAATAATGCATGAAGAGGAGAGTGATGACCGCCCTGTGAGATCCAGACAGAACAGACGGAGCTTGATTTGGAGGCACTATGAGCGCCTGGACAGTTTGGCTGCTGTTCGTTGCCGCATTTGCATGAAGAAGATAAAGTGCTTTGAAGGCGGCAGCACCAGTAACCTACATCGGCACATGTCAAAGAGACACCCAGGGGTGTTCTCTCAGCTGGTGGCCAATGGAAAGAACCCACCACGATCCCGCTCATCACAGGGCTCAAATGTTAATGGTGACACATCGACACCACCAGAGACTGTTGAGGTGACAGAGGAGATACCTTTTCCAGGTAATGTTTCTGTGGACCACTTGTTGTTACTGTTTGTAATCTTGCTGAAGTAAAACAAATATGCAGAATTTTGATTTAAATCAATTATCAAAAGAAGTAGGCATGATTATGAATCTGACCAGAGGATTGATGCCAGCTTTAAGTACTTACAGTTTTCAATACTAATTTCTGTTAGTATCAAAAAGTATTGGCGTTAGATACCCAGCCCTGGTTTTATCAAATAAACATTGGTTTTAGAATATCAGCAATGTTTGCATCACCATGGCTGGAGTTTCATCATACAGTTAAAATAAGGTTATATAATTCTGCCTGTAAATAAAACATTATTTAAGTACTTAGGTACTCAACCTACCAAGTACTTCTGCTGTCACTTGATCTTCTCTCTAATTTAAAGAAAGCACTTTGGTGTCACTGTATGAGACTAAATATGTGGTCTTTTCCTCCCTCGTTCTTAAAGGTGTGCTGAAAGTTTCAAGAGCGTCTGATGGAGAAAAGGGTGTGTTTAGGAGGGAGCTGGAGCTGATAGAAGCTCTGAGGAGAGCACAGAGGGAGGAGGCTCGGGCTCTGGAGTATCAGAGGGAGCTGCTTGAGAAGCTGCGTGCAGTGAATGCCAGGGAGGCGGCTGCAGAGAGGGAGCAGATTGAGTCATTGAGGAAAGCACAGCTGGAGGAAGCCAAAGACTTGAGTAGACAGAAAGAAGAGCTGGAGATGGAAAAGGAAGAGCTGCAGAAGAAATGGGAAGAGCTTCAGCAGGAAAGAGAAGAACTCTTGATTTCCAGAGAGGAAGCCTCCTGATTCATGTTGCTTTAAATGCTTTGGGACTAATTCTAAGACATGAGGATTTAAAAGTGTAAACTCCCTTTTAGTAAAATATATTTTGCAAAAAATCAGTGGATATTTGATTTTGTTCCTGATATAGCCGTGTTGCTCTGCTTTATGGCATTTTAACATTTCTTCTGCCCATTCTGGTCATGGTGTGATACCCGACATCACTCTGGAGTTAAATGAATAGAAATGTGATGCCGGACAAACCTCTCCGTCTCCACCCTGCTTCCACTCATAGCTACAAAAAGCTATTTTGATATGTATATATAGTAGGCAGAGATTGTGTGTGTGTGTGTGTGTATGTGTGTGTGTTGCTTCTTGTTCTTCACGTCCTGAAGAAGAGGATTAGCTGCATAAATAACTGTCATATGTTTGTCTTATTCAAATGTTCGAATAGAGATGGATAAACACCAGAGCATCTACCTTGTAGCTACAACATGTTAGACGTGAACGTAGATTTTTTTCTATTCTATTTTAATTACTACAAGGGCTTGAAATGATCAGCCGAACTAATTTGAAATTTAAATGTTTGTCCTTTTGTTTTTTTCTACCACAATACATCATGTTGTCACTACCAAGTGGTGTGATTCTGTTATGAAATTTAATTTACCCTGAGACTTGAATTGAGTCTCTTTTTCATGGTCATTTTATTTAAATCTGCAGAAACTGATTGAGGGAGAACTCTTATTTACAATGACACAAAAAATAAGGGCTTGCAGGTTGCAATAAAGAAAGAATAAGAATACATGTAGAGACTTGAAAATTCACTATAAGAGAGAATTTGTATAACCTCACTTAACATAGCAGGTAATACATTAAAACATTTATGTGTAAGATACCTTGACATACTCTTCTTTATTAAATGAATAAATCACTAACGTTTCAAGACCCTAATCAGGGAGTTCATAATTTATAGCAAGGTAGTTGTTGGACTTTTCTTAAATTGGTAAAAGCTTCCGATGTGATGGTGAGGTCAGATATATGATCATTAATTGGGATATTGTGCCAGAGAATACAAATCACTGGTTGATTTACTGGATCACCACTAGCAGTAAGGTTTTTGTAGCGTTTTGTGGTTTGGTTGAATTTACTCTTTAAAATAAGTTCACTCCTATCTAGTGCCTATGAAAGACTTCTGTTTCCATCCCAGGATTAGAGGGTCCAGAAAGCGCATGCGTACGATTAAAGTGTTTTGAAACCCAGAGTGTGCCTTCTCAGGTTGTGCGTCTGCGCTACCGCCGGTTTATGTTACAAATGGTCAGGTACAATGCTGCAGTCGTGTTAGGTGTAACGTCCACCCAATTTTAAGACCAGGAGACGGCAAGTTCTCCCTGTAGTCCATGTGTAGTCCACCTGATCCTGCCAACAGGTCGCCGCCTGACAGACTGAACCCAGGGAGCAGCCGCAGCGTGGTGACGTGGTCTCCTGCGTCTGTCGGAAGATGGCTGACAGCGGAGCCGTGGCGGTGAAGAGATGCGACTCTGGCTCAGTGTCCTCAGTGAGTATGGAGACCATCTCGGCCCTGACGGAGCTGGAGGACCTGGAGAGGGTTTACCAGCAGCTCTCCGTGCAGGAGGTTCGTATAAACGACCGGTAGTTTGCCATTGGCTCTCACTGTCGTCATCCACGTACACTTCCGGGACGCCGCTGCCCCAAAACACTACCTCGGGAGAGAGCTGCAGTCTGATCGATTATGGCCAAATTAACAATAAATGATTCAACTGAAGGTTCGTCCTTTTAAGTTAGACTAGAGCTGGTGTTTGCTAGCTTCTAGGCAACCCGTAAGACAGGGGGTAACATTAGTATCTGAGTGTCCAGGGTTCAACAAACATCTAAATAACACATCATCAAGTGTTTGTAATTTAAGGTCGCAGAATTGGTTCTGATTAAAGGGATTTTACATGCATAGTGACAGCTAGTTGGTATTTAATGGAGTATCCTGAAGGTGTCCTGCAGCCACCAGGGACCATGCATCTCATGTTTACATATCATCTCTCAGCTCTGTAGCATTAACAATATTTGTTTGGAGACTTTTAAAAGATATGGCTGACTGATTGACAAGTATATGTGGGGAGATGCTCACACTGTTGGTATCAGGAGAACAACTGATCAAACAAATTAAGAAATTTGACAACTTATGGGCCATTTGTGCAAAGTAAATGACCATTACTAATCTTTATGATGTTTTAAGTCACAACAAACAAGTAATCCTGAAATTCTTGATACACCGTAGCTCAACCTGGACCCATCGTCAGTGATCATCAGAAAAAGCTTAATAAATAGAGCAAGTAACAAACTATGGCTCTAAAAGCCAGAATTTACAAAGACGTGTACTTATATAATGGTTAATGTTAATGGAATTAGGTTATTGACTCTCTTAAAACTACTTACACACCACATCTTCTACTATTTCCTTAATCAGACATCTAATATATTTGGTTTCTTCTGTGAAAATGTGAAAATATAGTATGTGTGTATTGTGTATAAGATGCTGACACCAAAATAAAAGTGATATTCTTGTTGCTCATTAGATGTTTGGTTTTCTCCTCTGCAGAAAGAAGTGGAGACTGAGCTGGACAGACTGGTGGGGCAGGAGGGGACCATTCACACAAAGATGTTGGCACTGCAGAGGATGGGGTACGGTTTGTATAGATTAATCTGTTACTCTAACAAGCATGAATAATACATACAGTGGGAGCAATAATTATTTGATCCCTTGCTGATTTTGTAGGTTTGCCCACTTACAAAGAATGGAACTGTGTATAGTTTTAATCATAGGTAAATTTAACATTGAGAGACAGAATATAAAAACAAAAAAAATCCAGAATAACAACATCATGAGAATTTTATAAATTTATTATCATATTTTTGCATGAAATATGTATTTGATCCCCTACCAACCAGCAATAATTCTGGCTCCCACAGACCAGTTAGTTTTCCATTGGGAAGCACTCCTAATCTCAACTTATTACCCAAAACACCTGTGTCGTAACATCGTTATGTAGCTGTATAAAAGACACCTGTCCACACAATCAATCACATTCCAACGTTTCCACCATGGGCAAGACAAAGGAGCTGTCTAAGGACATCAGGGACAAAATTGTAGGCCTGCACAAGGCTGGGCTGGGCTACAAGAAAATAAGCAAGCAGCTTGGTGAGAAGTTAACAACTGTTGGAGCAATTATTAGAAAATGGAAGAAACACTCCCTCGGTCTGGGCCTCCAAAACATACGGCCAAGGCAACAAAGGAGTGGCTCTAAAAGAAGCATATTAAGGTCCTGGAGTGGCCTAGCCAGTCTCCAGACCTAAATCCCAAAGAAAGTCTGTGGAGGGAGCTGAAGCTTCGAGTTGCCAATCGAGGATGCCAAGGATTTGGAGAGAATCTGCAAAGAGGAGTGGACCGAAATCCCTCCCAAGATCTGTGCAAACCTGGTGGAAAACTACAACAAACGTCTGACCTCTGTGCTTGCCAACAAAGGTTTCTCCACCAAGTATTAAGTCCTATTGTTCTATGGATCAAATACTTATTTCATGAGAAAATATGATAATAAATATATAAAATTTGTACGATGTTGTTATTCTGGATTTTTTTTATTTTTATATTCTGTCTCTCAATGTTAAATTTACCTATGATTAAAATTATACACAGTTCCATTCTTTGTAAGTGGGCAAACCTACAAAATCATCAAGGGATCAAATAATTATTGCTCCCACTGTAATGACATATAATGTAAAAAAAAAAAAAAAAGAACAGCAGTACAACAAATAAATCCTTTTTATTCATAAAAAGATATTAAAAAAATATGATAAAGGGGTCCATAATAAGTCAAATGTTAAAACTACTGCTGTGCAGATATAGACTCCATCTCTTCATGAACTGTCCCTTTGAAGAGTGAAGCAGGCAGGTCAAGTATTCAAGAGTAAAACACTTACACTTACTACACACTAAAACACTGACTATCTTATGCCAGTTCATCATTTATCCACAACATAAAAATATTGTTGCTTATAGAATGGACATCATACAGTCTGCCAGAGATAGTATTAACAATTGTATTTTCACACTGATGATCCAGGAGCAAAGAACGTGGGTTCAGGATTAGTGTAGTTTCAAAAGCACCTGAAGATCCTCATTTATTTGAGCTCCAACCACAAGTCTGTGTTCTTAAAACTGTATTTGTGCTCTATAGGCCCAATCTACAGCTGATCGGAGGAGACGCCAGTCAGCTGTCAGGCATGATCACATTTACCTGTAGCCTGGCTGAAAACGTCAGCCGCAAAGTCAGACAGCTGGACCTGGCGAAGGTAAATGCACACGCTTATTACATCTATCATAAACCACAGTTTTATTAACCTTTTCATTCATAGAAGAGAGTTGACTTTGGGTTTCATTTGTTCATATTGTAGTCATATGCATGTTGAAAAAAAACCTTAATAGGTTGTATTTATTACACAAATGTTGAACTGGATCACATACACTGATCTCGTAGTATATATCTTATTTTACCTTTGTAGACACGGCTGTATAACGTCATCCAACGCGCTGACGATATCCTGGATCTGAAGTTCTGCACAGACGGTGTGCAGACAGCTCTACGTAACGAAGATTATGAACAGGCTGCTGCCCACATCCATCGCTACCTCTCTCTGGACCAGTCGGTTATTGAGCTGAGCAGGCAGGGAGAAGAAAGTACGACCCCTCCAGTTCTCTGTCATAGTGCATTGCTCAGTATGCAGTCTTACACTGCAGCAAATAAGTTATTGCTATTGTCTTATTTGATTGTTTTGTGTGTTTTTGCATGATTTTGACATTTAATTTCTTAGGGTTGTAGTTCATCCAAAAGATTTTTTTTATTTTTCTACCTGCACTCGTGGTAGTAGTATAAATCAGCTGCAACATACATACTTTACACGTCTAAGCTTGTGCTGTAACACTGTCAATGCCTCATATCTACACAGGCAGTGCTGTGGATGCCAGTCTGGTAATGCTGCAGGAGGCAGAGCAGAAACTGAAGGTCATCGTTGCTGAGAAACTGGATGAAGCTGTAGCCGCAGTCGACCTCGCACAAGTAGAAAGGTTTTTCAAGATCTTCCCTCTGTTGGGCCTCCACCAGCAGGGCCTCGCCCGTTTCGGTCAATATCTCTGCAGTCAGGTCAGTTTCGGTCCCTGTTTGTGTGTTTTTGTGCCTGAGTATATCTCAAAAATGTAAATGAACTTTGAGTGGAAAGATAGGGCATGAACTAGCAGTCAGTGTGTTTATGGTGCAGATCCAGAGATTTCTTTTAACTGATTTTTTTTTTTACATTTTAACAACATTATTGTTATTTTCTGTGCTGCACTTGAATAAAATACTTAATTGAATGCCACAATGTGTAAGATTCAGGATCTAGAGGCAGCTTTCCTGTTGAAATAACGGATTTAGGGAATTGTGCAGCCTTGGAGGTACAGACTTTATATTTATGTTAGTAAAACATTTGCACTCCTTATTGTTCGTTGCTTGTAAATTCTATTAAAAACTATTAAATTCCTGATTCTTATCCTGATGTTGCACTCACTGTATTTGGTATAATAATATATAGTTAAATGACAACGGCCTCAAACAAAAAGAGAAGGCACTGTGAGTTGATCTGATGTGAGATTATCATTATGGATGTCTTTGGTTAGAAATATTCACAAATGTGTTACGTTTTGTTTTTTTCTGCCTCTTTCACACACAGCTTGCTTCCAAAGCTGAGGAGAATCTGGTCTTGGCTACAGGAGGAGACCTGGGCGAGAAGAGAGCCCCGCTGGTGTTTGCAGACACTCTGACGCTGCTGCTGGAAGGTGAGAAAACAGGCCCGATACTCTGCCTGCGTACGTGTTCCATTGTTTGCTCGGAGTGGCCTCCACTAATGTCTTGGTGTGTGTTTACAGGTATTGCTCGCGTCGTTGAGACTCATCAGCCTATTGTAGAGACGTATTACGGTCCGGGCCACCTATACACGCTCATAACTCACCTGCAGCAGGAATGCGACCAACAGGCGCAGAAAATAGTGGACAAGTTCATCCAGCAAAGAGGATACCACAACAAGGTGTACATGACGTCTGAGCTTCATGATGTGATCGTTTTTACTGCATACCTGTATACACTGTGAACTCATTCCCCTCCTGTAGTTTCAGATTGTCCAGAGTAGCATGATGAAGAGCGTCCCGGGGGAGACGATCGAGCCCAGGTATTTCTCTCAGCAACATCCTGCTCCTCCTTTTGTTTGTATTGTTTTTGCCTAAAACATCTGTCTTCCGTAAACAGGGAGCTGGACCCTGTACTGACAGAAGTTACCCTGATGAACGCAAGGGCGGAGCTCTACCTGCGCTTTCTACGCCGTCGCATGCTGGCCGACTTTGAAGTTGGGGATGCTCAGAGCGTGACCCAGGGTAGGTTTATATGACGTAACATGTGGTGATGCACACACAGATGCCTTCTTTGAGACGTGGAGCTAAAAATCTATCTGTCTAAAATATTAATGATTTTTCTTTCTTCAATTTTTGAACAGAGCATCAGCAGAATGTGGAGAAGCTTCTGAAACACTGCTTGCTGAGCAGGACGATGCAGGAGCTGATTGGCTACTATATTCCAATGGAAGAGTACTACATGAGAGAGTCTGTCAACAAGGTACATTTGATTCATACAGTAGTTTTATATTTGACTAAGAGGGGAACAGTTTGACACATTACACCGTTTACAGGTATTGGGGAGAAATACTGCATCAGTATAACACATTTTGTGACTCCAGTGGGAGCTGTGTCTCAAGTGAAGTCAGTTGAGTCAGTGTCAGTTGCAGCTGAAGACTACAAATCTAAAAATAAATAATAAAATCTGGGTTAGAAAGATGTGAGCTTACTGAAATGTCTGTAGCTTGCCTCTCATCTCTGCTTGAGGCTACATTTGCGAGCAAAATGGAGGTGAATCCCTGACTGAACTGTCAGCAGGCAATATATATATATATATATATACTGTACTCTAAAGTACAGTATTACAGTATATATATATATATATATATATGTATACCGTACTTTAGAGTACAGTATCAAACCTTAAGCACCAGGAGTCTGTCGCACATCAATTATGGGTTATTTGATCACAAATGTATTCTTCAGATTCAGATGTGACAACAAGAATGCGCTGCAGGGTTACTTATTTGCATTTTATTTATTTATGACACATACTTAATGTATGCAGCTGTGACCTTTTTAAGGTTTTATGCAGCAGAATGTACACACAGTACTACAGTACTATTACTGTGCACTGTGCAGTACAGATTGGCTTTACTATAGGAATTTTCCCTCATGGCACATCAATCATTAATGATCTGTGTCTCTGTCAAGAGTCTATGCATATTGGAGATTTTAGTTGGTTATTTATCACAAATCTTTTACAGTAAAATTAAATTTGATGAGAAAAACACAAATGCTATGATGTTTTAGAGGCTTAATGCAAATATATGTTTCTATTAAATAAGTTTAGATGTTTTTCAGGTAGTTGTTTTCCACTGTTACTTCCATGTTCACTCATCAGAACACATTGTATTCACTTTAAATAAACAATAATAATTATAATAAACTCCTCCTCAGGCTGTTACTATGGATACATATGAAAAGGGTCAGCTGACCTCCAGCATGGTTGACGACTGTTTCTACATTGTGAAGAAGTGCATCAGTAGAGCTTTATCCAGCTCCAGCATCGACTGCCTCTGTGCCATGATCAACCATGCTAACTCTGTGCTGGAGTCTGACTTCAGGTTCTCACTCGTTCACTTTCCAGTTGACATATTCAATACTTTTATATATATCTTTTTTTTTTATTGAACATGTTTTCACGTCTCATGCATGTATGTATGTGCCCCTTCCTGCCTTGTCTCTCTTCATCGGTCAGGGAGGTGTTGTATAACAAGCTGCGGCAGGGCTTCCCGGCTACGACGCTTCAGGACATCCAGCGTGGAGTCAGCAGTGCGGTCAGTCTGATGCAGAGCAGCTTACAGCAGGGCAAGTTCAACACACTGGGCATCGAGAGCGCTGAACACGCCAAGGCTGCATTTCTGGTAATAGACTAACACACACACGTACACACACATCCCCTCCTCACTCTGAGTATCTTCAAAATTGTTGGCCAGACTGATAAAGTCTTTTGTTTAATGCTTGTTTAAAAACGAGCAGCATTGATAAGTGAGGAATCAAATGCATGAATAAGTTCTAATTTAACTGAGGTAAGTAGTGCTTTAATTTTTAAAATGGCTCTTAGCTGAAGTGAGCACTACTTCAAAATCCTTTTAAACTGTTTGTCAAAAGGTAAACTGAAATCAAGAAACACTTAATGGGTTTATAACAACCGGTTGGACCTTGACAGAATAGGACTGAAGCATATCGGCAGTAAAGATCCTTCATTTACGCTCTTTTCTTTTTGTCTCAGGTGACTCTGAATAACGTAGAGGTGTGCAGTGAGAATATCACAACTTTAAAGAGGAACCTTGAGGTAAGTGTCACACCCGTGCTCATCTCTTCGAAATCATACTCTCATTGATAATTTACCTCATTGCTGTGAAATGTACTTTTGTTTGTGTCCCTTCACAGAATGACTGCTCCAAGTTGTTTAATCAGGGCGCTGGCTCCGGCGATCAAGCCAAGATTGAAAGCTGTTTGTCCGACCTCGTCAACACATCCGCCAAGTTCAAGGATCTCTTACAGGTTGGAGACAGACACACACACACACACACACACACACACACACACACACACATTGATCAGTGCCTGAGAGTTGAGAATTTGCAGTAGGTGCAGGGAATAATTCTGCGTTTTTAAAGGATTATAATATTTTTCCTAAATAAATGCAATCTGAAGAAGTTAGCTGCTCGAATCACTGGTGTCTCATCATCTTAAAGAGGAAGAATGAAAACCTCCTGCTACAATTTATATAGCAAGGCAATACGAGATATGTATTTTATTCAGTTTAATTTTATTTGTATAGCACCAGATCATAACAACAGTTACCTCAGGATAAAATAGAGCAGGTCTAGACTGTACTCCAACAGTTCCCATAGTAAGCAAGCGACAGTGGCAAGGAAATACTTCCTTTTAAGAGGCAGAAACCTCGAGCAGACATCAGCTGTAGATGGGCGGCCGTCTGCCTCGGCTGGTTGGGGTGAGAGAGAGAGAGAGAGAGAGAGAGAGAGAGAGAGAGAGAGAGAGAGGGGGCAGGGGGGGAGAGAGAGGGCGGGTTGTATCATGTATCCAAGGTCTTGTAAATGTGTGAAAATTAGACCCAGCTGTGGTTTAAAGCTTCATACTCTGACGTGATTTTATTTCACAGGAGGGTCTGACTGAGTTAAACACAACAGCCATAAAGCCTCAGGTCAAACCGTGGATCAGCAGCTTCCTGTCCATTTCACACAACATAGAGGAGGTAATTGTATCAGAGTAGTGAACAGAAATAAATTTGGAGGTCATGAAACATGTGGCTGTAACTGCTGGTGTTCCCCACAGGAGGAGTTTAATGATTATGAAGCTAATGATCCCTGGGTGCAGCAGCTCATCGTTAACTTGGAGCAGCTCATGGCAGAGTTCAAGGTATCTTGTCTGCGCAACATTTCAGCTCTGACTCCAAATATGTATGAATTCCTCCTTCCTATTTTTTTTTTTTAAAATGTCTCTCTGCCTCCTCACCAGACAGCCCTCTCTCCCGTTATCTACGACACGCTGACCAGCCTGATGACCAGTTTGATATCGATTGAAATGGAGAAGACCGTCCTCAAATGCTCATTCAGCAGGGTGAGGAGCCAGGGCTCTGCCACAAGGTGGTGTCGAGCACCCTGCGCATCACGTCATAACACATCACTGACACACATGTGGTGTAAAGCCTTAAGCAATGATTTATTAATGGGTCCAGAAAGGCCTGCAGGAGAGGGTGCTTCCTCTTTGCACGACAGCATCTTACTATTTTGAGCAGTGTGTTTACAAGAAGCCTCTAAATGAACGCTTTTACTTTGTACATCACATCCACTGTATCTGATATTTTTGTGTCGTAGCTCGGAGGGCTGCAGTTCGATAAAGAGCTTCGGTCTCTTGTGGCGTACCTCACCACTGTGACCACCTGGACCATCAGGGATAAGTTTGCTCGTCTCACACAAATGGCCACCATCCTCAACCTGGAGCGGGTAATTTAGATCATTTTATACACACATACACAGAATATACAGTATATAAAAGCTATTTTTTAAAATTATTATTATTATCATTATTATTATTATTCATTTAATTTTTTAATTACTTGAGTATTTCCATTTAATGCTACCTTAGACATCTACTTCACTACATTTTAGTAGGAAATATGTGATCTAACAGCTTCACAGATTAAGATTTTTTAAACAAAAAAATTATGATTTTATAAAATATGATACATTTGTGTGCATAAAATAACTAGGGACAAGATATAAACAAGTTAAATTAACTCCACCTTGACCAACTACATCAGTAAAATGGGGCAGTGGCTTTTGGGACTATAGATGATAACCATGAAATCACAAGGTCCTCATTTTAATTTGTTGAAAACTGCCCCAAAAACAAAATGACTACAGTAAAATGATGATTATACATTAATGCGCCAATAATAATAGTTTATATAAAACACCCACAGCGGTAAGTTCCTGCATTATGATTACTTTAGATACTTTAAACTACATTTTACTAAAATAAATACTTTCACTGTATGATATTGCTAATTTTACATAATTAATATAAACATTACCTGACACAGTTTGGACATTTCTAATTTATATTTACTGTAGACTACAAAACAATAATACAGATGAGCAGAGAGAAATGACAGGATAAACAATTATAAACTGAAATAGCTATAAGCTTTAAAGGAATTAAGTAAAGGATCTGAATACCTTTTCCTGGTTTACACAGGCTCACATGTACCTTTTTTGTGCTGCAGGTAACTGAGATCTTGGATTACTGGGGCCCAAACTCGGGGCCCCTGACATGGCGGCTGACCCCGGCGGAGGTGCGTCAGGTTCTAGCACTACGTATCGACTTCAGAAGTGAAGATATCAAGAGGCTGCGACTGTAATTCAGGAACCAAGTGTGCTGATTATCACCGATTGCCATGCAGTACCCACCTTGTGATGCTTTTCACTAAAGAGCTCTGCACAATCCAGGTTTAATCCATGTGTCTGTAAATGGATGCAGGGAGGGCACGGGCAAATGGTTGGGGATTTCTTTCTCTCTGTCTGAAACAAAAAATACTCGTTGCTTATTCTGGAGTCTGGTTTTCAGCCTTCTGCTCCACACCTGGCTGATGTGAGTCTGTATCAGAGTCTCAGCTTTTAGAGGTTTGTGGTTATTTGATATGAGTGATCTGTAAAAATATGAGAATATTGCCTTGTGTGTAATTAAAAAGTGTAACCGTGTCACTCTGGGAGTTCCAATCTTTTAACCTGTAACTGGCTCTGAGAAACGAGGGCACACTGGGACTGAGGAGCAGAGCTCTGCGGCTGTCAGTGAAACAGAGCAGTAATGAACATCGTACCCATTAAACTGACAGAAGCAGGTCAGACAGCTGATCCAGCCTAGTCATTCAATATATGAATAGCTCCTTGTCTGTGATGATGGAACACTTTTAACCTAATAAATTGAGAGCCGCTGCGCAACGCCTCTGATCCCTGCCATCCGCCACATTTCACGAAGTGCTGCCCTATTGCCATGCGAGACCTGTTCCCAATCTTTTATACATATTTCTGACACTAAATACAAAGCTGTGTTCACCAGGCAATGAAGCATTAAAAGTGGTCCATTCTCATAATGTTCAGCCTAATTTCCTGGTCTAACCTTAATTCTCTGCACAGATTAAAGCAGGTCAGTGTGTGTTTAAACTTTTGCTGAGAGGACAGCGCAGCGATGGTGCAGTTTGTTATCCAACCTTCTTCAGTGTAATCAGACTCAGACCACGAATGCAGGAATAGTTAGGAAAAGTGTGGCTTTAATGTAAACACAACATTCGATTGGCTCAGCACAAACATTCCACATGAGAGCAACCAATAAACTACCAAATAGGATGGGGTGCAGCACAAAAACATTCACAGTAAAAAAAAATCTGGTATAATCATAATATATATACAGTACGGTGCTTTTAAGGTGAAAATGGAGATAGGATATGGGGACTGATATGTGATAGATAAGAGTATACAGGGATGGGAAGATGAATTTCTGGGTGCACAGGTGAAAATGGAGAGCTGTACCTTTTCTCTGTGAAAAGAGAAATGTGACAGATGGGGGGGGTGGAGGAGGGGGGAGGGGGATAATGGTTCCCTGTTTACTGATCAGGGGCGAAGAGGGTTCGAAAAACCCCCGACTCCCCAGACAGAGGCTGCCTCAAATTATATTGTTCTCCTCGTGCAGTCTTCTATTTCTACACAGATTCACATCGAAGGGTAAAGCACCACACAGAGAACAAGATGTCATTGGAGGGCTGCTTTCTACCCTCTGAACCGTAGACAGGTATCGGTGTTCCCCCAGTTTTTTCATGTCAGGAAATAAATATGTGGCACGGGATTTCAGGAGGTAGGAGGAGGCATGTAGGGCATGAGGCTTAAATAAATAAATCGTTCGATGATAATAAAATGTTATATATGTTACTTAAATAATATTAGTTGATAGTATGAACATGATCTATGATTTCTGATCCTAATCCCCTATCTGTCGTCAGATGGTTGGCACCGATATGACGTTGTTTTTTTAGATATCATTGGCTGATAGGCATTTCCTCACGGTACAAGAGGCCAATGGCAATGGGCAGCCACTCTGAACAGAAGAATCCTCTCTTTCATTATGTATTAAAAAGCAAAAGAGAAAACAGAGAGTGGAACAGACCTGCAGGCTACTCAGTCATGTGTGGGTCTGAAGGAGAGGGGAGCTTTGTCCCGTCTGAAAGTTAAAATAGCCTCCTTCCCAACCATGACCCTCAGCCACGAGTACAGCACCTCCCCAACAACATCATCATCTCCACCTTCATACACACAGCAGCTCTTCAAACGGAGCACAACAGGCTATATTCAGTACAGATACAAATGCCTCGAGACTCGCACATAAAAATGTCACATAAAAGATGGGACAATATTCCACGCTGTGGTTAAAAATGACATTGCACACTCCTCGCGTTGCATTTCTGGGCTTTGCAAAACAAGGCTCCGGCTGAATATACCCCTGGTACTGCCGCTTCTGACCTTACCAGTTGTTGACACGGTCATCAACAAAACATGAAACATTCAGCTCAAAAACACATTTTTATAAGACAAAACTGGGGTTGTATACAGAAATCAAAATAAGAGGAAGGGAACAAATCATGGCAATAAATCCAGTGTGGTGTCTGACGGCAGCTCTTTGGGTCCATTTGGACGTGTAGAATTACATATTTATGTGTTTAAGTATCATCAAAATTATCATTATTAACACCTCATACTCTCCATGACAACCTCTGTGCTTGGCCAGGCCTCAGTATAAGCCACACCCTCTAAGGTTGTTTGCAATAATGATGTCAGTGACGGCATCAAACACTACCTGGATGTTTCCCGTGTCTGTGGCACAGGTCAGGTGACAGTAGATCTCTTTATTGGGAGAGCGGTTCTTACTCTCAAACTGAACCTGAATATATGCAGTAGCATCGTCGTAAGTATTAGCACCTGGTGACAAGAGGAGGAAACAGAAAGACAGCATAAGGGACCAACGTTCATCGGCTTTGCTCGTGAAGCAGCTCTGCTGCGAAGGTGAAAGTGAGGGACTCACCTGTGTATTCTGGAAAACAGATCGTCAGCGGGGACTTCTTGATCTTCTCAGCAAACAGATCCTTCTTGTTGAGGAAGAGGATGATGGAGGTGTCGATGAAGAACTTGTTGTTACAGATGGAGTCAAAGAGCATGAGCGACTCATGCATGCGGTTCTGCAGGAAGCATCAATGTGTGGTTAGTGTTACAGTGAGGAGAGTGTCTGGTTTACAGTAATTTAAAGTTATTATAATAATAATTTATAGTTTGACCACTTGCTGAATGTGTAACTGTAACTAAATATTGAGTTATCTTATCTAAACAAAGAGGAACATAACAAATAAACATTTAAAAGATTAATGTTAACCCAGGAAACCGGCTTAAAGTACTGTAACAATCAGTTTATTAGAAGTCACAGTGGTAGTTTCACTGTCTGTCCTGGAAGAGGGATCCCTTGTGATTGCTTCTCTCCCCCTTTTTAGCTGTTACATGAAGTTTTCCTTCATTGGATAGAGGTTGTTGTATAGATTATGTTTGAAAGTGAATTTATATCTGTTGGCACTGTCAGACTGTGGCTATCCAGATAAAGACCATTAAGAAGTTTTTTTTGGCATTTTGCCTTTAATAGTAGGTAGCAGTAGAGGCGCAGATGTGAATTAAAGAGGGACAAAGGCCCAATGTGAGGATATCAATTCAACAGAGGAACTCGGCCAGACTTGAACAGCTGATGTTGCAGTTGTATCATACGTGTCTCAACCACTTGGCCACCAGGATATTGGCTTTTAGCAACAGTGAAAGCCCCACTGTGAGTTGTGCACCAGAGGGAGTTGGACTGAATTAACTGAGTCACACTTACAGTTGTTTCATCTTCATGGAGCACCTGGTCGTATCCGCTCAGAGCAACGCAGAAGATAATGGCTGTCACATCTTCAAAGCAGTGGATCCACTTCTTCCTCTCTGACCTCTGACCTCCCACATCAAACAGCCTGGACAAAAGTGTGCAAGAAGTCAGTTCAGACACAAAGATTTAATCCCTGAAACATAATCTCAACACAGGGGCTCGTGAGCTCTGACGCTGCAGCGGCTCCACGTACACTACCTGAAATGAAGGTTTTTGAAGGTGAAGTGGGTTTCGACAATGCCAGTGGTCTTCACTCGGGTTCTCAGGATGTCCTGCTCTGTGGGCTGATAATCTGCTGCCCCAATCCGGTCTAGACTGTCCAGGTAGCTGATGACAAGAGAATGTGGAATTAGACGATTTTGTTACACAACCTTGATAAATAAATTATCTTGATTCCTTGATTTAAAGTCCTTTTTAGCTCCACTCACTATTGAGCAGAGTCGTTGAGTTGGTATTCTCGGGCACGGCTGAAGCACTCCTGAGTCCCGGCATCGGACCATACACGCTTCATAGCGGTAAGAAGCTCTGCAGAGTACGGCTCTGTGTCCTCCATACGACTGACCACATCGCAAACCAGCTTAGCATCCGCCTGGACACAACATAGTTCATAAGATCAGGGAAAGAGGGACACAATTATATCAGTATATTTGTGGTTTATCACCTGTTGTAATGGATATTTTTAACTATTACAAACTGTACACCGTCGTTTTCTTTCAATTAACACTATAAAGCAATTAAAATGTTTGATTAAAGTGACAGTTTGATCTGAGCATCTTCTGATCATTGTTAAATTCTTCTGTCCAACCCAGTCCTGCTTTGGCTCTGTCACGTTTCACCCCCATATATTTCAAGCGTGTATCAGTTTCTCCGCAGTCTGTAGGTGATATATAAGACCAACTTTTCTATCCTTGTCTCCAAACTCGATGCCCAGGGAGTCCATGGCTCGGAGGATGGCTGCCAAGCTCTGGATGGTGTTGCTGTAGACCACAGGCTTATACTGCTTCACGTCATCCCCAGAAAAGCCATCTTCATGGATAATCCTGCATGCGCACACAGATATTAGACACAAGCATAGACCAAACAGAAGAAATCACAATGTCTTTTCACAATAAAAGGTCTACTGTGTATGTGTGGCTTATATTCTTATATTCCTCTCTTCCTCCTTCCTACCATCTCTGCCTACAATGCGTCTTTAAGTGTGTCGGTGTATAATGGGGATGGGCATTGATCACATTCTCAGTCTGTGATCTGTAATTGGTCAGTAATGTGATATCTAAGCCATTCATAATTTATAATGGGCAATGGAGTGGAATCAGAGCACTAATCAATCACACTACACAGGACTCTACTGTTACATTTAGTACGACACTGTTAAACTCCTCATAATCTGGTCAACATTAAATTATCCGCCCTGACCTCACATACACTGAACCTATAAAATACCACTCATAACTTCCTGAATCTGACCTGCAGTCCACATTTAAATTTCTGCCGCTTCTTCGCCTCCTTTGTGATCAATGATTGATGTGTGATGAGGAGAATTAATAAGGGATGATGGTTTTTAACCTACATTCATCTCATCAGTGCACATTGTGAAAAGATGTTTTATAACGGAGCGACCACCTCCAAAGAAACAGTTTTATGAAATAAAATATTAACCTTTAGGGGAAAAGAACAGAGGGGCAGTTTCACATAGCAAAGGCCAATAAATAATTTATAGGTGCAACTAACATCATTTCTTTTATTATTATTGAATTTACTGATTAATCATCTACAAATAATCAGAAAATACTGACAAATACATGTTTTAATTCTCCATAGCACAAAGTGACGTCTTCCTACGTCTTGTTTTGTTTGATCAACATATAAAACATTTATATATGTCGATGGTCCAACAGATATTACATTTACTATCATTAAATATAAGACAAAGAAACAAACACAATCCTCACATTAAAGAAGCAAATGTTTGACATTTTTGCTAATAGAAATGACTAAAGTGATTATTCAATCATCAGTTGCCGATCAATTTTCTGTCAATAATCTACTGGATGAATGAATCCTTTCACCTCTAAAATAATTGAGATAATACTGTTCATGTGTGAGATGTGTCAGGATGTTGGTGTTTTACCACCTCTGATAAGCATTTTCTCAGGGAGGTGTTTTAAATGAATATACAGGTTAGGCTGCAAATAACAATTACCTTCATTATTGATTAATCTGCAGATAATATCACAGAGAACAAAGAACATCAGTAAATATTCACATTTAATTAAGTCTGAACTAATACATTTTGGACACCTTTGCTTTAAAAATAGGGGAAAATTGTTTGAGGTCCATATACAGTGTGTGCGATTGATGAGAACTTAACTGACCAAAAACAGATTAAAGATCTTAAGTTTATGTTACACATTAATGAGGTTTCATTCATATAATCCAAATCTACTTCATTGTGTGCATCATCTTATTTATAGGACTTATTATTGGTTACATTTTCTGACCATTTAAAGGTTTTTTGATTTCTCTCTCTCTCTCTCTCTCACACACACACACACACACACACACACACTTGAAACTCCAGCTGTAGTTTGATTCTCATTGTCAACATGAAACTACCACAGCCAGGCCCTGGATCACACAATATAAAAGACACTCTCAAATCATTTTACTAACCTGCACAGCATGTGATGATGTTCAAGTGGACTAAATCACAGCAGTGCGTGCTAAATGTACCCTCTGATACCTAAACTTTATGACCCACAGTGTGTGTAGTAAAACCCATCCGGCTGCTGCCTGCCTGCCCCGGCTAAAACAAACCCTGAAAAGTGTTTGTAAACACTATTTGGCCCCAGTGTCTTGTGTTCAGGGCAGAGCAGCGAGTTGTGGACAGGCAGAAAACCACAGGGAGGGTAATGAGGTGAAGGGAAGAAGAGGAAGCAGGGCAGGGAGGCAGGGAGGGAGAGAGAGGGAAGGAAGGGAGGGAGGGAGGGTGCAGTCAGTGCATTGCAGGCCGGGATGCGCTGAGCAGGACGGAGGCAGAGAGAGAGAGAGAGAGAGAGAGAGAGAGAGAGAGAGAGAGAGAGTGCTACCCACAAAAACTGGTAGAGATGTTTTCACAAGACAAAATATACAATGGACTGTGCCTTTTTCCGGACTGAAACATCTAGAAACTTAACTAAGAGGGTTAGAGAAAACAACAACAGTGATTTAAAACATCAAAGAGTGATTTAGCTTAGACAGGGGACGGTTTAGATGCGGTTTTAGAAGCCATATTTCTGCGTAAATCCGCTTTATAGGCAAAGTACTCCCGGCGATATCGGGCACTTAAAGCCATTAAGATTAAAAGCAGAGGTATTCACTAATGGAGCTGTAGTGACCTCAATGTAATTCACACACACACACACACGCCCGCGCGGGCGCGCACACACACCCGCACACGCGCGCGCACACGCACAGAGAACAACACCCACATATCCCCAGTCGCACACTCCCTGTAGTCAAGTACAACCCTCGTTAACTACATTTCAGCACCCGGGCAGTGAACAGCACCCTGGGACGCACCGGTGCGGCCTCGGCAGCCTCACTGTCGGTCTGCAGGAGGTGCTCGAGTCACCGGCACTCCTCCGGGGCTACGGCCTCTCGAAACATGGCGGCTCAACCTGCCTTAGCACAGATAGGGGAGGCGCAATCTCGGGCCTTTTGCTCTGGCTGTGCCGAGGAGGGTTAAAACGAGACAAAAAAGAGACACTTACTTCATCTGTTTGACGATGGTGCTTTTGCCGGACTCTCCGCCGCCTGTAAAGAACGGAGGGCAGAGTGAGAGCCGGCAGTGAAATCAGTACCACGGAGAGCACCTCCGCCCCATGCAGTTCCCTTAACCACAAGCAAACCGAGCCGTGCCGCGCCGAGGCGCAGCAGCCCCGCGGCCGGAGAGGCTCTTCTCTTACCGAGCAGAAGCAGTTTGACGTCCTTGGCGGCGGTCATCCCGTCCTCTTTCAGGTTTTTCTCGATGGCCTTGCTCCGGTCCAGAGCTGCGCGCTCCTCGGCGCTCAGTGTACATCCCATGTTTCCAGGCGAATGAGCAATCCCGTCGTCTCTCCGGTCCGCCCTGTCCCCTCTCACCGACTCTCAATCAGTGCGTTGTCTCTCGCTCGAGCTCTCCTCCCGCGCGGTCTGCTACAGCATTAGGCCCGGATTGAGGGCAGAACAGAGCCGGGATCCCGAAACGGTCTTTTCTCCGTGACTCTGTATGCGCCTCTCTCGCTCCGTCTCCTCTCTCAGAGGGGATTGGGGGGTGGGGTCGTTGTGCTCGAGCCTGCGGGGTTGGGGTTGTTGTTAGGTGGAGAGGGGGGGCCTCGAGCTCTCTCTATCTCTCTCTCTCGCGCGCGCTCTCTCTCTCTACAGGGCGGCGCTGGTGGTGATGATGACAGCGAGCGCGAGCGATTTCATCGTATCTTTTCACTAAGGCAGGCAGGAGGGGCGCGAGAGGAGGAAGAGGAGGGAAGCAGGGCTGGCTGCGCGAGACTCACCTAACGCGGACAATCTCGCTTACGTCAGAGCAGCTTTAATCACGTCCTATGAAAAAGATTATTCACATGAAAGAGCCGTTTAAATGGCAAATGTTGGCCTCTTGTCTCTTGGTATTAGTGGAAATTGTGCTGTTGTTGGGAAAATTAAAACACCGCAACACCACCGGTATTATTTTTATCTACAAGGGTTTCAACAAATAGGCCTGAAACACACAGGAGGCACGGTGGTAGACGAAGAGAACATGCATGGTTTCGGTTTTTAAATTAGCCTACAAAAAATATATAATCAGCTGTGGAAGAGTCTATTTAACAAATAAAAAACAGCGAGGTATTCTTAAGTAAAAGCTACTGTGTTAATAAACACCATTACAAGTTAAGGTCCAGCATTCAAAATGGAACTTCAGTAAAACTGTATGAGCAGTAGGTCCAAATGTACTGGAGGTATCAAAAGTAAAAGTAGGCTACTCACTGTTGGGTAGATTACCTGCCAACATTTGTGTTTTATAAGCTCATCATAGGTTCTGAAAAGAAACAATTAACTTTAGATGTTAAATTCATGTAGTGGAGTAAAAGGATAAAGTGGAATAAAATGGAAATACCAAAGTATAAGTGCCTCAAAAATGTACAAATAAAAGTCCTGCATTCAAAATCTTATTGAAATATAAGTACAAAAGTGTTACAAGCGCAATAAGTAGTATTACATTAAGTATAAGTATTATAAGTGCAGCAGACTGGCCCCAGTTAGAGTAATTTAATTGTTTACTGCTGAGCAGTTTAATCTGTACCAGTGTTATCATATTTTATAAAAATGTTTTATGTGTAAAATCTTATAATCTGCAAAGTAACTAGGAACTATAGCAGTCAAATAAATGTAAATGAGTAAAAAGTACAATATTTCCTTCTGAAATGTAGTAAAATAGACAAGTAAAGTAGGAGAAAATGGAAACACTGGAGTGCAGTACTTAAATAAATGTACTTAATCACTCTCCACGTGTGCAGATTATAAACAAATGTGTAATCCAAGACAGTTACAGCCAGGGCCATAGACAGGACACAGAGGTCACACCAAATTCACCCAGCAAAACCCCACCCACCAACAAATTATGGGCCAACTCTACAATAATTCTTTAAAAATCACAATATGTCTTAGTCTTCAATAATATGAGCTTTAAAAACCCAACATGTGCATGTATTTGTGTCTAACTCCTCTTTATGTCATAAACAAGTTACAGAGATATTAGACGGCATAACCTCTTCAGTGATAGTTCTGGGCCTGGCTACGGCAGACATAAAGAGGGATGTATGTGTGTTTATCATAATAACTTATAAAACTGTGTATGTCAACGTTGGGGGATGTGGCCAAACCATATAGCAGTAATAAATGTGTGTGATAAAAGCTTCTAATCCACACATCACATCTGGATGGATGGTCAAGTGGAGTAAAAAAGGGGGGTTGGGGCTTTTATAGTGGACCCTGAATGAAAACCAGCAGAGGAGCTCAACCTGAAGAGAGTCCATCCATCAGTAAATGTCCTCTTTGACAGCCAAGCTGAGATAAAACCTCTGCACACGTCTCAGCTGCAATCTCCACCTCTCTGCCCCGAAGCTCCCACAACGTGACACATGCAGGCACATACACATTCAGCTACAACATCAGTAATCAGCACTGTTTAATCATATGAGCATGTGCACGTGTGTGTGTGTGTGTGTGAGTGACAGCCAGTGATGGTAGGGAGGGAGGGAGGGAGGATTAACACTAAATTATACCTGAGGGAATTTTGACAAAATTATGTTTTCAGTTTTAATTACACTAATGCATCAAACAAAACATGAGGACTTCTATTTTTTTTTTTACAACAATTTAATTTGTATGAACCCATTTTATAGAATAAAAAAAAAATCAAAAACCGTCAGTTGTGCACTCATTAGCAACAACAACAGGTTCCATCTGCAAATTGACTTATAAAGCAGAAATAAAAGAGGTACATGATGGAAACAGTTTAAACAGTGCATCAAACCCAAAACAGCATACTTTTTTAAAACAGTGAAGACAGATAATTCCATCTAAATGAAAACAATCAATAACACTAATAATTGAAAAGCAAATATGATATGAATCAATTCACACACACATGCTAGCATGTGTTCACACAACCTGTCAGAAAAAAACACACTCACGCACACACACACACACACACACACACACACACACACACACACACACACAGACTCACACAGAGGAATGATTTTGATCGTCAATCAGGGACAAACATACTGTATATAAAAGCAGGCAGGACAAAGTCAACTGCTCCTCAAGTAGAGAGGACCTGTCCCCCTCAGTTTTCACGACTCGTATGCAGAACAGAAGCACACAGAGTTACTCTCGTGGCTGTATGTCCAGAATATTTTCAGCCAGGCTGGTGAGTTTGCAGTCCTCCAGTGCTTTGACCAGCCGGCTCAGCTTGGCTGCTCTCCCCTCCGCCTGGATGAAGCGGCTGAGCAGCTGATAGGCTTGCTCATACAGCCCTTCTCTCTCGTACTCGTAGGCCAGGTTGTCTATGGCCGGACCCTTCAGCGCCCGGCAGCTCTTCCCCAGGGCCCTCCCTACATGCTTCCACTGACGGCCCACTCCGTTGGAAAAGCTCTGAACATCTGCCTGTGTCAGCATTCGGTCCTCTGACGGGCCAAAGGATAAAGAATGAGGGGGAAAAAAACAATGTAAAGTGTACTTAATGGTGATTACATAAACCTTTTATTATAAACATATATGTGTAAACAGTAAACATTTCCCAGAATAACTTCAACTTGTCGTGCACCGTGACCTTACAGGACATCAACAGGATTGTTTTTACGTTAGGCCTTTAAAGCATTAAAGCAGCACTGATTAATTTCTTTGGCCACTTGGGGACAGTGATACAAGCTGTAAACACAGCATTTACATGTTATCACATATAAAGTTGTTATGGAGAACATGTTAGCAACAGTTGCTATTTACACACCCAGCAGACACCTGAGACACCCAGACTCCACCTGAGTCCAACATTCACTCTTCTTTTAGCGGTGTTTTGGTCCCCAACAACTCCTGAGGGAAATATCTTGCTCTTTAGCTGCTAAATGCTAGCTAGTTGTTAGCTTTGTCTGTTTGCCGTTTTGGTGCTGGGGAGGTAAGGTACAGTGGATTGCTGAAAACAACGCTGATGAGAACAGTGGAAATGAACTAAAACAGTAAATCTGTGGGACATAAGACCAAAACAATGAGCTGAAACGTGCTGAAATGCTGCGAAGAGATGAAACATGTAGAGCTGGGTGATGATTCTCTGTCGGGGTTGTCACTACAGTCGGCACTTTTCACATTATCTGTAGTCATTTAATTTATCGTTGGTACAAAATTATTGATTAGTGCAGGTTGGCTGTTAATGTGTGTGAATAAATACTGAACACTCAGGTGTTGTGGTGTTTTTAATAAAGACATAATGACCAAAGTGTTTGTCTGCTCTTTGCTGTTTAAAAATCTGCTTAAATCTTTCGGTAAATATCACTGGTGGCATATTTTCCCAATTCCCCTTGTCCCACCACAAGCACCAACATCAATTTAAAATTCTCAGGAGAGAAAGTTAATGTGAGCTTGAGTATTTCAATTATTGGGCAGCTCTGTTTTGTTTCAGCATCGCTCTGAAGTGAAGTGAACACCTGCTTGACACTGAGCAACTGGAAAATGTAGGTTGTGCATATGCTGCTGGCTGCACAACAAACTGCCCTGTAGGGATAATAAAGCTGTCCTTGATCATAGCTTGACACTTAAAGCAATTGCTTTAAGTAAAATCAGCAGGTTTTACTGACAGTTGCTATTATATACTAGCAGCTACATTCGACTCTAGAGAGTTTACACGTAAGGTGACCAATGGAGCGTCTGATATTAAAAGAGATTAGTGCCACCTAAAAATTAATTTTAAATTGCATAGATTTGAACTTGACATGTATAAACTGAATGAATACATTTACAGAGATTATAGTCCAATTGGTAAATTAATTTCTTTATATCAAATTTGGTTTACCTACTAGATTTCATACTTCAGATTGAACCTGAAACCAGAGCAGCTTGGGCTGTTTGGAGGAAGCACTCTGGGAACAGTAGTCCCCCATTACCCAGATACAGTGTGCCTGAATCTAAATTTAGATTAACTGAAATCAAATCTTAAATTAACTCAATTAGAAAATCAAATTAACTTTCAAGACATTGTTGGGCCTCATCAGTTAATGTTTATTTAACAGTTCAATATGAGGTTGACAAATTTAAATCAGTGCAATCCAAATACATTATCTGCTAGCACTAATCTCTCCCCATAGACTGACTATCAATTTATAAAAGGTTGGATTAGAGACAGCAGACAAACCGTACTGAATTCACATGTTAAAATCCAACACTAACAGCAAAGTTGGATATTGTGAAAAAGATAACATCAATCTGGCAGCTTTTCGCATTAAAAAAAAAGTAGTTTTTTGACTGCAAACCAACAAATCTAAGATACAGAGGCTTCTAAACAGGGCTCACATACACCAACAAGAAAGAGCGTTCAAAACAATACAACCTCTAGTACAACTATACAGCAATGACACAATTGTAAAAAATAAATGCAGGCTGATACAAGCAAGTTACTTATCTCAACTTCACTTTAACACATGGTTGAACTGAAATGAATGGCTGCCTGGAAGATTGCAAATCAATTAAAAATCTTATGGTAAGCTCTCACCACCAATCTAATACAACTGAATATATTCAGAAATAATCTGAAAATAAGTCTCTCTATATAATATAAATGCTATTTTCATCTCCATTGTGACCTCTTTTGGCCATAAGTCTGCCACCAAATCTGGAAAAGGACACACAACTTAAGTAGAATTGGTCATCTGGACTCACCAAACACTCTGTTCTGAAACCTGAAGCAGTTGCTGGGGACAGTAGACTCCTCCTGTGTGATGGTAGTCGACTGTGGGGCAGGACCGAGAGCCTGAGTCTGCAGCTTCTGCTCCAGATCATCAATCTCCTCATCGCGGAGGCGCTCCGGCTGACATAAAATGACAAAGATTGCCTAAATTGAATAAAATGAACATGAACTCGCCCACCGAGAGCAACAATAATTACTGTTTAATGTGTGAGGGTACATCTGCCTCCCACAGGACTTCGGTTTTTATGTGGTTATACTGCTCCTTCCCTCCTCTGTTATTCTCCTTCTGAGCACTTTGTTCATCATTTCACACACTGACTCTGGATCTTACTTACATACTACATATTAATTGTTACAATATGTACTATAAACTACTATGTTATTATAGTTAGTATACAAAAAAACATTCTAAACCAACAGTAAATAATATAATACTGTGTCAGATGTCATTAAAATGCAACTTCAGTTGCCAGTTACACTTTACAAAGAGGATGCAAAGTGTTACACTTTTTTTGTTTGTTTTTAAGATCTTTCTGGGGATGTCGCATCACCATCTATTAATTATTTTATTAATTTTGCCAGTATGAGCTGTGTGACTGGTGTTGTGTTAAGAAGGGAAAATATTCAGCCAAACAAACTGGAATAATAAAGCAATAAAAGTATTTCTGTTGAAATATATTTTTGTGGTACTGGGATATTAATGCTAAATATTATTTTCACAACTGGTATTGGTTTTTAAACTGCTTGCTTGGCAAAGAGCTTAATGCAGCTGCACAGGTCGTAATAAATCGACTGAGAGAGATAACAACTCCTCAATGAACTTATTTCTTTGATCAAATTGAAAAGGTTAACTGTCACTCACTCACTAGAGATTGGTTAGGGTGAAGAAATCACCCAAGTACCAACTATTTAAAATTTTAAATGCTGAAGCTCCACCTGAAATCGCCACAGGAAAGACTTCTATAATACCTGTGACCGGTGGATGTGCTGTAGGCAAAGTTCCAGCTTCTCCAGATAGAGATCCAGGATGTGTGTGCTGGCCTTGAGTTGGGTTTCCACCGTGAGCTCTTGGGGAAGAGTAAGAAGCCGGCAGGCGTGTTGGGAGAGGGACTGACGCACGGCTCCAGAGCTGTAGCTCTCGAGGAACTGCCGACATGCTTCCACGTCCACAAACTTCACCTCCACCCCCAGAAAGGGATCGGCATCGTGGACCTTAAGTATCTCATAACCACCCAGACCTCCGGCAGAATCTGATCATGGAAAATACTCATTAATAAACGGGAAGTCAAGAATATAAGATAAAAAAAGGAAATAAGGAATTAAAATAAATAAGTGTCTTGATAGATGTGTCTTTTATCTTAATCACACATGACTTATAGATTCCAACTAGAGCGCTCACCTATGAGAGTCAGTTTGATGACTTTGAAAACAATGAACTTTCCTTCCTGCTGGTCTTTGTAGAGAGAGAGCAGGTTCACACCAGGCGAGAGCGACTGCAGAAACATGACCGCACATCCTGTCCATGGCCCACGATCCAGAGTTTTGTCTGCCATTCTCTAAAAAAATATATGAGACATACAGCACATGGTTTCACTGATGAGCAGACAACATCAAAAGGTCTGATGTGCAGAGCCTACAAAGAAACTTATAAAGAAATGATAGAGTGATGCGTTTCTGTGTTGCTGTAAAATATTCTGGGAGAATCATAGCTCCATTTTCTTTGGGTATGTTTTATTTCATAACATAAAACATAAAAACACTGAAAGAAAAACATCTTCTAGATTTCGTTGCCTTAAAAGAGAAATCAGGATGCTTTCCACTCCATAAAATGCCCTAATAGCCTAAATCTACCAGGGATTTAAGGGTTCCTCCATTCAAAGGTCAGATCGGCAAAACATTGATGTCTGTGGATTATCATTCACAGTGTGTATTTGAATATCTGGAGTTGGCTTCTTCAGCCTTGTCTCTTTTTTGTTTCTATTTGATTGTTTCCAGCAGTCAGTGAACCGCTGAGTGGACTGAAAATTTAATTTATTTTTCTCTGTGTATATTCGTAACATCTGTGCGACTGGTGCACAGTCCAACTGCACTTCTCCTCTGTAAAGTGGGATTAATCAATAGAACTGACTTAATATAAGTGACTGCTTTTTGTGTACCTCTGTAAAATAAATGAAAAGGCTTTTTGACAAAGGCCATTATTACATAATACTACATCCATTTCAGATGATGATATCATGAGACCTAAATAATATTAAAACCCACATAGAGCAACACTGCCAAAGGATTAGGGATGTAGCAATTCACTATATTAATAATTACATTAAATACTTATACAGTTGTGTGACAAATACAACACAAATACGTAGTAAATGTTATTATGCCATTCAACTACGGTTGATCTTTAAGTAGTTTAACGTGTCAGACCCAGGTAGAGTGGTTTCTATGGGGCATACATACAACATACATAGGATGGGAAACACTCGTCGTTTTCAATCAAAATTGCCAAATATTCAATGGTTTGGCTTCTTAAATGTGAGGATTTGCTGTTTTCTATCATTGTAAATAAAATATCTTTGGTCTGTTGGTTGAACCAAACCATCTATTTCAAGACATTTAGATCTGTTAAACTGATTTTATTCCCCCATCATTTCACTGCAGCCCTACAATATTTTAAAAAGGCATGTGTGTTGATGTTGTCTCAGTTACACAAACACTGTTTTGAATTGTTCACCAGACTCTAAACTTAATGAAATGTTTGATATACCTTTCCTTCATCTGAGGCAGGTAATACAATTTAAAATCACTTGAGCATAACAAATAATTGCCTCTCTAATTTAACTGCCTGGACCAGTGACAGCCCTGGTTTGTGTGTCCTCACTCCACTCTACCCTTTTTTACCCCAACCTCCTTTTGAAACCCTCATTACATAAAAACATGTTTAATCTCAGTCCTCCCCTCCCCCAGTCCAGCCCCTAACTCCTGTTCTCTGAATGAATCACTGAAGCCCTAACTCACTCTTGGTGTTGTCTCCATGCAGAGGATGCAGAGCGCTCTGCATAGAGAGAGCATCCTCTGAGCTGGATTATATGCATGTCCTCATGTTGCACTAATACACAGTATGCTTGGCTAGTGGGTCTACAGGAATCTCCACAACTTAGCCTGTATGTAATTATATGCTATCCTATCTACTGGTACTCTGGAAGTACACTGTGAGATTTGTTGTACCAGCTGTACGAGGATTAAGTGATCATCAGGAGCTTAAAATATATCATTTAGCTTTTGCTGCCAAAAGGCAACCTCTAGTATTCCCTGGACAGTTCATCTGGCATTTAGGTGAAAGAAATATTTGATTCACACGATGTGGTTCCACAAATTGGTAACGGAAAGTTTCTGTCTGTTTTGTTCTGTTGTCTTTAGTGCTTTATAGCTCAACATGTAAACTAAACAGACCCGTAGATGACGGCCTGAAACCCATGTGCCACTAAACGTAACACATTGTAAGGCTCCCACTAGTGATTGTTTTGAGTGTCAATTAATCGGTTGATGATTTTTTTTTTATCTTTTAGTCTGAAAATTTCATCATAATTTCGATTCAGTTTTGTCCGACCACCAGTCTAAAACCCAAAAACCCTTTTGCTTGATAAACGACCTAAATTATTCATCTGTCATCAAAATTGTTTGTATTGTCCTTCGTATGATATCTATTCAATCTAGAGAAAGGTAAATACAGACGTATCTTGGGGGGGAAACAAAATATGTTGTGTTTACAGTAAACCTCAAAGAAACAAAACAGGTCAAACATGTCATTTTTTTAATTAACACACTTCTTGTCCGTACGTGTACTAAATATAAAAGCACTGCACACCCACACAGGTATTACCAGTTATGCTGAGTAATTAGATCTCAGCTCATGCCGTGCTCATTATATAACTCCAATGTATATAATATAAACTGTCTGAAAACCAAACAAACACGGATGCTTCACGTCCAACGTTCAGTGTAACTAAAACATACATTAAATGAATATAGTGCTATACTGTCAGTGCGCAGTAATGTAACTCTCACAATACCAACTCTGTAATCACGTGAATGTCTTGAGATGTCCTGTAAATGTGAACGTTTGCCAGTCATTAACATGGGAGCCAGATTAGTTGGATGAAGCTATTCTGGGTAATACAGGACATCAGCAAACTCCATGTACTGCAGTGATAGTGGTGCAAGTTTGTTGTACCCTGTGAGGGACGGGTCAGTCAAGCATGGTCTGTACAGTACATGCCCTCAGTCCTGAGTCTAATCAGGCAGAATTATTGAAAACACCTGTGTAGGAGCACCATGGGTGTGTACGGCCTTAAAGGATAGGTTCACAGGTTACATATAAAGAGTGGGTTGGTGTTATCATTCCTTACAAGAAACATCTGCCTCAAGGCCATTGAAAGCATCACAGTGTTATTTGACCAACTCACGGACAAGGGAAGTGACAACGAATTATAATAAGGAGCCTAAATTACTTGTATTAGTGATTGTAGCGTGCTGAAATAATTTATCAATTAATCAACCAACTGAAAAATTATCAACAAAAATGTAAAATTACAAACATTTGTTGGAAGTTTTTGCAAAAATTTATTTGCAGATGCCTCTTATTGGCTTTAGTTTAACTTTAGACTGATTTTTTTTTACATAGACTGAGTAGGGCCGCACAATTAATTGATTTTATTTGATAAAGGTAAATGTGTACGGTAAACTAGAAGTACTGTAGTGAGGTTTTTTGTTGCCCTACTGTTTGGTACAGCAACCCAAACAATGTCACATCATCAATCATTTCCAACTAATTATAAATCATACTTAAATATCTGTGAGAATAATCACAATATAATGTTTTTTACCACATCATGCAGCTCTAAGAATGAGTACCCAACGAGAGGAACAATTACAGTGAATATTAATGATTTTATACATACAGAAAACAAGTGAACTTATACTTTAAAGGACAACAGCTTTTGTAAAACGACTCATACTTTGGCATTAGGACACTGTGTCTAGCGACCTTTCCAAAAACCAATACAATTATTACTGAAACAGATTTTGCAGTATTTCTGGAGATCAGAAGTTTTTATGGTAACACAGCAGAGAACAAAATACAGTACTATAATTGCACATTATTTTAATCACGGCTGTGTACATTGCGATATCTTAGATACTATAACCAGGGTGATATATTGAGATTGATATTGTCTTCCACCTCTGATTTTAATTGTGATACATGTTTGGTTTTTAAACTTTAATCCGCTGGCCTGGCAGAAGAAGTGGTTGCTAGGCGACCCAGACGTACAGGTACAGGGGGGTTTTCGGTTAGACCACATGAAGATAGCTATAACGTTAGTTACCTGCCACAGGTGTGAACCAGTGTTTTACAGCAGCTTTACAGTGTGAGTCGACCAGCCGGCGACAGGAACCGCCCGCTGTATAGATACCAGCTTTATAGGACTAACATAAAGACATAAAGTTCGTGTTAGTGAACCTCACGTAGAGTAGACACAACTGCCGTAAAACTTCGGCCCCGGTGCGACAAAACAGACTGCTTTAGTGTTTACTGGACAGCTAAGAAACACCGCAGCAGCAAGACACGGTGTCTAACTCATCATTGTTTTGATTCCCTGTAAAGTAATCCTTGGTTAAAGTCGGTACAAACTTACCTTAAAACTTTGTGATATTGTTCGGTGACGCTTCCTCCTGCGGGATCACACCCACTGACACGGTAATAACTTCCTGGCCTCCCATTGGCTGAGCAGAACTCGAAGAGCGCTCTGATTGGTGGAAATCAACACGCCGCCTGGGGAAAAAAATATGACAGGAAGGAAGTGTTTTTTTTTTTTTAAATGTAGGAATCCATATGTAGGGCATACGCATGAGTTACATACCTTTTAAAATGAACATTTCCCTGTTATGACTCCTTACGATGAAGGGAGGTGAAGCTGGTGGGAGTTAAAATAATCAAGGAAGTGTTTGTTGGCGACAAACTGTCTGGGTGAAGTGACCAAAGCACGCATTATAACAGGAATGGACTAAATCAGTTGTACTATAATGGCGACATTAAGCTGTCAATGTCAACCCCTGCATCGATTATTTCTCATTTCCTGCGAGAGACCTACAAGCCCTGTGTTTCTGTACTGTTACTGTGGTTATATAAATGGTTTCTGTTCGTGTTAACAGATGTTAAAGTTGCTCAAAAACCCACCAAAAGGCAAAGCAGGTTAGTATCCTGTCTACTAACATTATGTTTTATGTACTGCTAGATAAGGCATGGACAGACCGTGTACAAGAAAATTGAGAAGTCAATTGATCAATTAGTCGATCGATACAACCTTTGGCGGTTCCAGATGGTCAGAACCATTCATTTATCCTCCATTTTATATCATTATAAAGTAAAATATCACTGAGTTCTGCACTGTAGGACAGACAAAACAAGCAATTTACCTTGAGTGATCGACATTTTTTACTCTTCTACATATAACTGAGTAAAAGACTAATCAATAATATAAATAATGATCAGTTATAGTAGCTACATTTCTGCATGCATTCTTCAAACTTTAGAGAATTACAAATAAGCTGCCATGGAGGGGTTTCTCTTCTAAAAATATGTTGGAATAATGAATGTATCCTGTATTTGTTGGAAGAATTGATTATAAATAGATATTCAATAAAATGGATTCTGGGATGGGGTCTCATCCTGTCTTTTCTCCTGTCTTATCACAAACTTAGGGCTTCAATAAAAATGACACAGCCAGTTGTACAATTTGTAATTTTCATGAAATGAACACGCACAAAAAGGGAGCTTTCTAATGTAACAATGTCTAACAACCAAAGGGTTGGTGGTTCAATCCCTAGTTCCTTCTGTTCATATTCAAAGTGTCCGTTAGCAAAACACAGAACCCCAACTAGTTTAGGTCAGCATCTATGAATGTGTACACCACTGATCCATGTCGATGTCTCTGTGCACAACACTGGAAGATGAACCAAAGATGTCAAGAAACCCACACAACCGATATATATACATACAGATACTGTATATTTATTCATAGTACACAAAAGAGAAGTCATACAACGCTCTGCTGGTAGAATTATTAGTAGAATCCGAAGAGCTCTTGTGGTTGACATGTTTGACAAATTTGAGAGTTTCTTTGTCTCTGTACACGAGGGCGAGGGAATTGTCCTCTGGATACACCGTCAGCAGCTGTGATGACGAGGAAACCAAAGCAGTAATGATGATGATCAATGATTGATCGCTCACACATGTACAATTACACTTCATACTGTAATCAACTCTCACCTCCTCGTCCTCCTCATTAGCAACATAACACGTGAAGCCTCCAAAATCTGACTGCCAGTCTATGAAAGACAATTCAAGTGTTGAAACATTCACAATATTGATTGATGTTCATACTGTGTGTGTGTGTGTGTGTGTGTGTGTGTGTGTGTGTGTGTGTGTGTGTGTGTGTGTGTGTGTGTGTGTGTGCGTGGACTCACCAGGGCTGCAAAAAGGCAAAACAAGGTCCAGAGCATATTCTGCCCGCGCTGCTTCTCCATCATGCAACAGAGTGTAGCAGCCATGAGACCATCGACGCAGTTCACCACAACATACAGGTGTGCTCAGCTCTAAACAACAAACAAACAAACAAACAAAGGTCAATCACACACACACACACACACACACACACACACACACACACAGCTGTGCAGACTGAAGAACCTGACAAACACCTTTCTCTCTGCTTGTATTCACTGATTGTGATTCGGTTGAAGATCCCGTGGCTTCTCCGTCTACTACGTCCTCTTGCTCCTTTTTCTCCTCCTTCTCTTCATCTTTCTCTTCATCATCCTCATCAGCAGGACACAGGTAGTGCAATCGAAGGCCGGTGAAGTTGGAGAGAAGCAGGAAGAAGGCCTCTGAACGAAGGAGCTCCCAACATGCACTCACACACTGAGGCAGAGTGTCCAGAGAAGCCACTTCATAGCACCTGAGTCACAAAAATACAGTGGAGGTAATCACATTATCTCCAGCAAATATAAACATAACATCACTCTTGTGTTAAATGATCTGTGAAACCTGTCCTACCTCTTATTGGGCGGACCCCTCTTTGTCCACTGAATCTGAGCGAGTCGCAGGGCTTCACTCACCTCCCTGAACTTCTCCTCCTGAGGACAGACACACAGTCAGCCAACAGGAACCAGTGGAAACGTGCCAGGAAGAAGAAAATGAGGAAAGAAGTTACCTTGAGAAAATCTTTGAGCTGAATTTCAGAGCTGTCCTCAAACTCCTCCTGGATCTGCTCTTGATAGGATATGTCCAGGTAGACTGGATTGACCCACTCCAGAAGCAACGTTTCCTGTGGTAAACACAACAACCACATATCAGCAGGAACGTAGGCTGTCCATTGTTTGACATTTTTGGAAATGCACTTGCTGAAAGTTAATGAGAAGATCAATACCACCATGTGAACCAGAAATATGTTGTTTCTTTCCTTTTGGTTTTTGTAGATTAAATAAACATGTCAATTAGTGATGCTTAGAAAAACCTTTTGTACATGTTTGAACAAACTCACGTCTCTTGGTAAGTGTGGGCTCCGTTGGACGGGGGCCTCTGTGTGGCGAGGAGGACGCTCCAGAGACGGCCCGTGAAACCAGCCACTCAGAGACAGACGACACTTGTCCTCCGTCAAAACCTCGGACACCTGGACATAACACATGTTATCGATATGAAATCACAGGTACAACATCGATGAAAAGGCCGGAGCGGTTCATCTTACTTGGTGAAAGGAGACTGGAGAAACTTCAAAGAGGACAAGGGTGTTCAAAGAAGGTACGAGTGACTTCACTATGCTCTGCGGTTGGAAATTACCTGATGACAAAGACAAAGATTATATAAGATTTCTGTTGTTTAAACGAAGAGAAGTACACACACACAAACTGGGATACTCACTGTCAGTTGTGTAAAGATCGAGGGTTCCTCCATCGCTGCTTTGCCAGGGAGGCACGAGATACAGGATGAAAGCAACGCGCCTCCCCTCCAATTCATCATCATGACACAAGAGAACATCTAGACAGAAGAGAGAACAGTACATATATTTAAAAAAAGGAAAAATGTACAGCAGAGTAGTCATCGCATATCTGATCAAAAGAGCCTAAAAATATAACAGTACTTCCTGTAAGACGTTAAAACAAAGCTTACCTGTGTATTCATATCTGGCACAAGAAATATCCACTGTGGGCTCCAGTTCAACTCCCAACACTCCCCCGAGCCAGGAACGGAAACGCCCAAACAGTGCTGCCCTGAAAACAGCGACATTAATGTGAAATGCATTTCATTCACTACTGACAATGACAATAATGCTAGACCTTTAACCTTGTATAAGCCTCACCATGCAGACAGATTGTTTCGACTGCTCAAACCTACCATGACATTTTGTTGCAACATAAATAATAGATGATCACAAGAGGAGGCCGGTATGGTGCATCTAATTATGGTATTTATTCTCCTGGGCTGTATTTCTTCAGTAGGTGTAGCACAGCATAATCACAAACGTATTTAGAAGAAATTATATGTTTGTTACTGTAAATACTGCTTTCCATAATTGCAAAAAAATGTCCATTATTTCTAAATAAAGCAGAAGGTTTGTGCATTATTTTGCTATCTGGGTAATGTATGAGTCTCAAAGGTGTCGTCTTGGATTCAGATTTGACATCAAGCTCGTTTTGGTCTGGTTTTATACATCGACATCAGAATTTTTATTGGACTTGGTTCAAACACTGAACCTCTTGGCAGTGTCTGGCAGCTCTCCCTGCTCAATAATTCTACAGTAACAGTATTGTTTCAGGTCATTTGTTTGAAAGCCCCAACATTTACACTGCTGTAATGACTCACAGTGTACCAGTGAGTACCAGACTGAATAAGAAACAGTTTCCACTTTCACCTTCTGCTCACAGGTGATTAACTGCAGCTGGATCCATTTTCCAGTACAGCCAGTGCTGTACAGTCCCACTGTGCCAAATGTTAAGGCTACCTTTCAGAGTCAACAGCACTAAATGAAGGAAACATGCTAATTAGGAGGCAGCTATAATCTCTGGCTCCACCTGGTGGAGCTGATAACTAAACCCCAAAATGTCTCACTACCACTGGGGACACGTCTGCATTTCAAGCCTTGCCATTTCCATACTGCTGACGTAAAACATTTATTTTAACCAACTTAACAATGCAGACGTTGAGGATAAATACTGATTAATCTATGTGTCTAAGTGTGTCTTTGTTGAATATTTTTAGAATATGCTGTGTGTGGCAACTTTAGAAGGTTTTAGATGGGAAAACTAAGCTTAGACGTCACAAGTAGCACAGAATGCCATCGCTGGATTTATAGCGCTGAGATCAGCAGTGACTAAAAAATAGTAGTTGTCCTGTCTTTGAGTTTTTCTCTCATGATGAGATACCAGTAAGGTTAAAGTGGTTTAAAGGTAAGAATACTGTATCTCAAAATGGACCATCAAATGTGCTTAAAATCTGTGCATTTCATTTTGTCAGGTGAAAAAAAGGAGCAACAAAATCACAATGAATAACCTGGCTTTAGAGAAAGAAAAGGTCATTCTGTCAGGTAATAAATATTGATCACAAAGGATTACCAGAAAATAAAAATGTGCTTTAAAGCTATAATATGTAACATTTCAGCATTAAACACTACAACTATGTTATATTATTTTGTTAAATTGTGTACTAACATTATTCTAAATGTTTTCAACAATATTCTTAAGTTATCAGAGAATCTCACTCCACTGGTCCCACGCTACTCCAAAAGGTCTAACTTTGTCTTTTATAATTGTTTTGATGAGTGAGACCCCATAGCCGCGAATATAACATATTCTATGTTTATGTTTTTGGAGGTTCAGTACTGGCTCTTAAGTCAGCAACTTGCTCCAGATGAGTGTGTAAAACTGTGTGTGTGTAGATTGATGGATTGAGTCTACCAAATTAATGTAATGTGATTTTTATCCGTACTTTTTACCCACCGGACAGAATGAGATAACTCACTTCACAGTACTTTAATTCCACTTGTAACTCATGCTGGGTGAGCAGCTCAGATTGTCAGAACACCGGCTATTATCCACACTTCACCTCTCTCTACATCTGTCCTATTTTATTCAATAACTCGGCTGCAAAAGACACTCACACCGACGTGTATTGGGTCTGGTATACTCAGCACATAAACACAAGAACACAAGCTAGCTTTCTACCTCAGTCCTGCAATATGTTGCTCCGTTCTCTTCTTCAGGTCATCTGACTGTATAGGAACAATAACAAAGTAAGATAATAACAAGACAACAGCACAAACCCACTGGGATAAATCTGTGAGAAGATCAGTCTGATCAGACAACCTGTTTAAATTTGTACAGATCGTTGGACTTCTCGTGGAAGTTGAGCCCCAGCAGCTCTCTCTGCAGGTTCTCCACGAAGGTCTCGCTGCCGAGGAAGTTCCTGATGATGCAGTGAGGGAAAGGGTGGCAGTCCAGCTCCAGATCCCCTGCACACGAACAGCAAAAGATTGTGTGTCTGCATGAGATATTGACAAAGAGCTTGTGCAAAGGCTCTGCGGAACAAACCAAGCACCAGAGTTTCAGGGCTGCTACAGCCACAAAACTGAAACAAGCTCCGAACAACAAACGTGAAATATTATTTGGACCTGATGAACAAGAGTGGCTGGTTCAAATGTAATAACAATAATAATAATAATAATATGTTCGACTCATATCCAGTGGTTGGGCAATATGACAATTTCTACTGAGAGAGGATATAAAATGTCAACCATCAGAGGATAATCTGTTAGATAATCGTACATGATGCTGCAAATCAACAACTTTATTACAATAATGGTCCAAACAACAGAAAGTCCATAAACAGATTCATAATTGATTTTTCACAAGAATCACTACATCATGATATAAATATTGTGATATAAAATTACACACATTGTAAGAGAGGACTGTATAGATAAAATAGTGACTGAACAACTGTCACTATTAATAGATGTTACTCTATAATGTGATACACATACAATCTCTGTCTGATAAGATTTAACTGTTCAATTACTATCAATAACTATCTATACTGTAGATTGGCAGATTAATAGAGTAGAAACCTTCATTCTTACACATCCTCTCACTAAGCTGTCAATAATCAATAAACTAATAGATATAAGATAATAATCAGTCGGGTTTTCTACTTCTTCAAGAAGAAATCAGTGATGTGTCTCATATTTCCTTTTATGTGTTATTATTATTATTATTATTATTATGCTGTTTTACAAACCCTGGAGCTGGTTCCTACAGACCTGCTCTGTGACGGATCAGTGTGTGAGTGTGTGTGTGTGTGTGTGTGTGCTGTCCACTAACCCTGGCTGTAGTGAGTCCTCTGGCTCCATGCCTCCCTCACAGCTCTCTTCAGCTGCTCGTCTTCTACAACTGAAGTAAGTTCAGCTGTTTCTACACAATTCTTCTTCTTCCTCTTCTTCTCTGTGACTCTGCTCTCGTCCGGTCGTCGTTTTGACGCCATTGTACAAACGATCCGGGGTGAAACCGGACGAAGGTGCAGTTTTATAAAGAGCTTTATTCACTTTAGTAACGTGAGTTGGTGTGAAATGGCCCGTGTGTCGCGGGTAAATGACGTCCTCTGAAGGGGTCTAATAACTTTACCCTGAGTGGAGACTGTCAGGCAGCATCGGAAACTTCCTTCCTGGGTTGAAATTAAAGGTTTAGGATTGGATTGGACTGGACGGGTACATTTAATTTAGTATTTTGAAGAAAACCCTCTTTAAGAGGAATGGGACGTTACATATGTATTTTCTTGGTTTTTGAGGCAACCAAGTCATAAAATATAAGATATAAAAGATATAATTCCTCCAGTAGGTGTTTTTTTATGAACTTTTTGTCATATTTGCTGAGACTTTCACTTCATATTGTCAGTATAACACTAAGTCTCCTCTGGCTCATTGTAGTGCTTCTATTGGCACAAATAAAAACAACCAATCAGAGCAACAATAAGCTATTTTTTTTTATAAAAGTGACCTACTGCAGCTTTAATGAGAATGGATAACACCTATAACAGCATGTTTCTGAAAAATGATGTTGTGACATGGTTGTAGCAAGAGACCATCAATCTTCTGTCCTGTCACTATGATAGATGTAACAATTGAAGTATGTTGTTGGTCAAGTGTCTTTGATTAGGTACTTACTATGTGATCGCGACACAGCACACGTCTAACCTTAATCTACACATAACCAAGAGACTGATGAAGCTTATGAGGTAAGGCTTCAGGGCAAAGTCAGTCAGTCATTCACTGTGTGAGACCAATTCTTCTGTCCAACACCTGAGTGCTGGCTGTACAACAAGTCTATTATCTATTAAGATTTCAGCCTCATCAGCTCCAGTACTGATTCATGCTGAAATATTCTGGTTTTCACATTCACTTGATGGATATTTGATCACCTTGTTTGGATCGGATTAAGGCAATATGTCAGCCTGCAACTTCTAGGTTTCTTTTACCAAATGTACAACAAGAAATAAAAACAGTGACCTTATAAAACTGAAGCATTTAACATTGGTACTTTCTGTTCCAAACATTGGTGTATCTCGGTGTTGAATTAAATCATCAGTAAACTGAAGAAAAGCCAAATAAACATTTAAAATCACTTCCCAAAGAGTTTTCTCTCTACAACTTAATAAGTATCAGTCAGCCACTCACTTTGCTCTTTGTATTTTATAAAAACATACTCAAAAGGACTGCTTTATTAAAAAGAAAAAAACAAAACACACAGCATTGTTACAGGTTAAAACACAGGAAACTCAATGATGTATTTTGTTTAATCAAACATTGGCCTCCTTTGAGAGGACATAAAACCAGATTCTTATCACGCTGGAATACAGACTTGTATACTACAAAAACTAGCAGTTTCTCAAGATTAAAAAAAAGACACATGACATTTTCATTTTCTTCTAACAGTATAAACACCCCTGTGGAACTGTCAATATACACGACATGACAAGATTTTTGTTTTGTGAAAGTTGATCTGAAGATGAGACGTATTTTTTCCCCCCACATTGTCTCTCATCTTCACTCAGACGGGGCTGCACTCACAGAGACAGCCAGATGTACTTCTGGTCATTCAAGTTAGTTATAAATGAAGTTGAACCTATAAAAGAAAAACAGTCATTATTACAAATTCAGTTTACAAGTTTCACAGCAATGCAGTTGCAATTTTTGTCTTTTCCAGTTTAATTTTAAAATGTAAAAACACTTTAAATGTTCTTTTAAAATGGTAAACTAGACACTAGTGGACAATTTAATCTACAGCTGGTGCCAAAAAAGGTAGGCAAGAAAAAGACTGCAAGCAAGTAAACAATACCAGATTTAAACTATTCCAAATATTGACTTTGACTTTTATGAGAAAGGAATGTTTGTATATGTATTTCTTTGCTATAAATAAAGTCTTAACTTAAAAAATCTCTGCACACCTGATTGCACGTCTGGTGCAACGTAACTTGAATAAAACTCTTGAACACTGACTTGCATATTGGTGGTTTATATCAGAGTTTTTTTCTTTTTTATTTAAGTCCAGTTCTGTCTTCAATCTTTATCTGCAAACTACTGTAGTATTCACACATATGCATCCTTGTTCCTGGCTTGCATAACCAGGCTGTGGTGCAGGTTTAGGTACTGAATTTGCGTCAGTGTTTTGGTCAAACACTTCAACAGGATGGATATCTAAAACGGCTCTTCAAACCCGAGCAGTAGTCTTTGTACTCTTTGTGCGACCCTGCAGCCCACAGCTGAAGCTTAGACATGCCAACAACTGAGTGCTTTCACTGTGTTAACTGGTGCTGATCACTGGCTTGTAACATTACAAACATGAAAGATAGAGAAAGACAATACCTGCTCAATAGTTGTGGTAGACTGGAAATTATTGGTCCATATCCAGGAGCGTTGTCATATAGTTCAAACAACGGTGCTGCCACCAGTTTATAGTTTTTGGGGACAGCAAACAGCGCTGTGGAGACATGAATTACAGGTTTCAAAACCAGAAGCAATGTTACTCCTCCTCCTCTTCTTTCAACAGGATTTATACCTCTGTCTACCATTTGTTCTCTATTAAACTTCAATGCTAAAATACAATAATGTCACAAGTTGCAATATGCTGACCTTTTTCCTGCAACTGAACCAGGAATAGCTTCTTATGCTCCTTAGGTTTGGTGATGTGAGCTGGAATATATGGATACTGCAAAACAAATGACTTAGAATCAGTTCACATTAGTATGCACAGATATAAACGACATTATGACTAATTGACTACAGAGACTTCATCCTGGGATCCAGAGTGCATGTTTCAATCTGGATAAACATCCTCCCATTGACAAGCAGTGAGTCATTTCCCTGCATTAGTAATGTTGTTAGGTTAGCAAAGTGAAAGTATCTTGGAAATTATAACCAAAAGAAAGAAACTGACTATTTGTGTGTTTGTGGACATATTTCAAACCAGAGACTGTGGAAAAAATTTCCATATTTATCTCAAATAAGATATCTGAACAAAAATATCCAGTAGAAATGTTCCTTTAGTTAATTCAATCTTCAGACCCTCTTATTATCCCGCTGGTCTTTGTGAACTAACCTGTGGAGGCTCAAAGTTGGGGCGCCACCAGTTGCCGATACAGTCGTCAATCACCCAGTCCTGCTTCACGCCGTCCTGCCGTCCGAGGATCTAAAGTCCAAATAAAAGTTAACATACATATAAAGTCCACAATCACCATAGCACCAAGGAGCTTATACTGTGCTGTGACGTAGCTACCTCGGTCATCAGGCGTTTCAGGCCCTCCACCTCATCTTCTCCAGGACTCAACTCCCCCCCAGGCCTGCAGGAGAGATGCAAGGATTCAGCCGACTGTTCATACAGGACCCTCTGAGGTCCATACAGGTTGGACTGGTTTATACCGTTTATACCCTCGGAGCTTTAACTACTTACAGTTTGAAGAAAGTGGTGCCCAGCTGCAGAAGTAACACATGAGGTAGCCTGTGTTCATGGACAATTAGAACGCCCTCCACGGTCCTCCGCATTCCCATCTTATCAAACTCTTCCCGCATCCGCTGAAAGCGGGCGGCCACTGAGCTGTCCTTCTCATACAGAGGCTCCTTGGTGCCAAATGTATAGTTGGTAAGAGGATATCTGAAGTAAAAATACGCACATGAAACACTGTTAAATACATACTTACATGCTATAGAAACTAAAGATGTGGTAATTATCAGTAGAATTATAAGACTGCAACAGAAAATGAAATTGATTAAACCATCTATTGTTTTTCTTTGGATTAACTTATTGTTTAGAAAACCTATAATATGGAATAAAATGTGCAATGACAATAAAGTTGAATCTAATCTAAAATAGATTTTTCCAGAGCCCAAAGTGACTTCTTCAAAATGCTTCTGTTGTCCAACAAAAACAAGAGAAAACAAGCAAATCCTCACATTTGAGACTAAAATTAATGACTTATTTATTAATTAATAATTGATTATCAAAATTACTGAAGATCAATTGAGTGCACATCTAAATGCTGCACTGCAAGTTTCAAAATCAAGAGAAAAATTAACTGTTCATTATTTACTCGATTAATCAGTGCAATATAATACAAACAATAAAAAACGCATATCACAACTTCCTGAGCTAAACTTGCTCGTTTTGTCCGGCCAACAGTGAAAAGGCCAAATATAATTAGTTTAACATTACAGAGGACAAAGGAAATCGGATATATTCTCCTTTGAGAAGCTGAAACCAGTAAAATGTTGGCATTTTAGCTTAAAAACGAATAAACAATGAAAATAGTGGACAGTTTTTCCGTCGATCAACCCGTTTCAGCTCCACACTTGAACAATGGTTAGTTGCAGCCGGAACTAAAATCCAACAACACAATTTTCTTAAACAATGTGAGTGTTAATAAAACAAAGAAAGCGTCTTACTGACTACAAGCTTTACATAAACAACATGATATTTCTATCAAACAACCCTCTCCTACTTCAAAACTACCACAAACACATTGAAGCCTAAAACATGGCCACAGCAGCAGAGACGTGGAGGCATTGTGTCAAACACACTGTTACACACACACACAATAATAATAATAATAATAATAATAATAAGATCAGTATCCAGCAGGCAGCAAACACAACATGTTAACTCAGCTCAACGTTAGCTACAAAGTTTTTGGAAATTTGATTGTCGGTGTACGTTAACTAACCGGAACATTTTTTGACACAGATACCAGCAGCGTGGTGTGAACTCACAGGTTGATGGTCCTCTCCAGAGTGAGCGGTTTAGCGGGCCCGCTCATGTATTTGTTCCCAAACTGAACGGCACCACCGCGCGGCCAGCCGGCAGACGAGCGACTGGGAGGCACGACCGACATCTCTACCGTGTGCACGACGAGGCTAAAATCCTCCTGCAAAAAATCTACCTCAGCTGGTAGTTGGGTTATATAAATTGCTAAAGTAATTATGTGGATAGTCCACAACAATTTCTTTCTACCGTCGTTTCCTTTGGGCCTTCTCTTCCGGGTGAGGGTGGTTTTCTGGGCGAGATTCCCGACAGCGAGCCCTGGTGGTGTGGAGGATGAACAGCAGTGGTGTACTTCTTACTGTATGTTGTTGTACACAGACAATTATTGCTGTTTATCTGTGGTACATGGAAATGAAGGTTGTTGTTTTTTTTTATCAACCAGACCTGATACTGTAAACTATCCTATAGTGTGTGTGTGTGTGTGTGTGTGTGTGTGTGTGTGTGTGTGTGTGTGTGTGTGTGTGTGTGTGTGTGTGTGTGTGGGTGTGTGTTTAGTGGCGGACTGCTTTCTCAATCCAGTTCCACCAACAGACTGGCCATAAGACTGTACAACAACTCTTAGTCTACCTCCATTTGCACTGCTTACTGTTTTACACTGTTTACTGGGGCTACTGTGTTATAAGTCAATTTTATTTTTAATTTGAATGTATGTTTAATGTATGTAATGTGCTATTATGCTACTGGATACTTGAATTTCCCTCTGGATAAATAAAGTATCTATCTATCTATCTATCTATCTATCTATCTATCTATCTATCTATCTATCTATCTATCTATCTATCTATCTCTCTCTATCTGTCTATCTATCTATCTATATTATAAGATCTGTCTGCCTCTAAGGAAGGACTGATGCCCTATTTTGTGAGGTATAAAGGAAGAATCAAGGTTTTATAGCTAACTAAAACTAAACTAAAAACATAATAGGTGTTATAAACATTTTAGTCAACAGAAATAAAAGTAAAACTAACTGAAACAATATTGTGTACATACAAAAATAAAATAAAAATATATAGAAAATGTCTTTAGTTGTAGTCTTTTAATTTGGTCAAATTTGTCAACACAAACACAAGAATGAGGAGTCATTGGAGAATGTTTATTGAGGGACGTCTACATGACTGTGAGTCAATGTCTGTATTATTATACTTATTCTGAAAATCTTAAATCTTGCCCCTCACAAATACCCCACATATAATAATAATAATAATAATAATAATAATAAACCACTACTTATTACTGAAACTAATAAAAACTAAACATTTTGAAATTAAAAAAAAACTAAACTGAAAGGATCGAACTCTGGAAACTAAAGAAATAAAACTAAATTTTAAAAAAACAAATGAAAAATACCAACTCTCATTTATCGTCTCAAGGTCAACTATTAGCTGACTTTTCTCCAGGTCTTTCAAAAACATCTCACAGTCTTCCTCTGCAGATGGACTCAATGGACTAAATGTGACACTAAAGGCCAGAGACAATGATATAAGAGCCCCTGTGATAACAACTGCATATCCATGGCAACTGAAGAGCCCATACACTTTAGGAACAACTAGTAAGTGTCCCTTGAGTTACGATTCTCTTGTCAAAAAGCATAAATGTGTTAGAAATAATGTATTCACACACAAACAGCAGGAATGACTCATTCAATTCAATATTCCATTTAATAGTCATAACTATGTCTCTTATCCATCTATTGTAAACATGGTGTATTTTACCACAGTAGTTGTCTTATGGTACATAATCATACGTGCAATGCAAAAATTCAAACATAAGTTAAAAAAGGACAAAGACACTGCTGGATTTGTTGATTACATCACACCAAGGGGATCTCAGTTCTTTGGTCCAGTGGCCCACCCTTTGTGGTGTGCTGCTTTAATGTGGTGGTCCCTGTAGGAAGTGCCATGGATCATCTGCCCCCCTTTACCCTTTACTGTGGCCTCTCCTACCCCGTCACAGTAGTTGGTCCCGTGTTTATGAATTTGTTGATTTTTGAATTACTTCACACCCTCTGACTTGGTTTCTTCTGGTTTTTGACTTGTCACCCCCTCATCGCTATACAGCTCACCCTCTTTCCCTGATGCAGGTTCAGCCACTCCCCCTTCTGTTTTCACTGCGTCTTCTTCAGGTTTCACACTTTCCTCCTGCACTTCTTTCCTCATCAAGTCGCTGCTGACCAGAGCTGGTTTCCCCTTTTCATTCTCGCTCTCATTCCCGACATCGATGACTTTCTTGCTCTCATCTGTCTCAGCCTGCTTGCTCTTTTGAACCGTATCAAGCTCCTCGTCTGCTGTTGAGAGAAGAAAATCACAGTAATTACAAATACTTGCCTTCATGCAAGCACACATTACATACTCCATACTACTTAAAACTTACCTGCGCTCTTCTCTGCAAGCTCTATGCTGGATCTTTCTTCGGGAGGTGTCTGTACATCGTTATCTTGGCCTGGACTATCATTGTAGGGCGCTGGACTGGTCAAATGGTGAGAAGCAGCACTTGAGTTATCGGTAACAGGGAGGCCAGAGCTAGTTGGTGTGAGGGTAGTGCTGATATTGTTAGTGTCGGGGGGGTCTGAGTCAGTCGGGAGAGGGGAGCTAATTGCAGCTGCGTTTGCTGAACTGGGGGTGGAAGTGGTGTCTGCACGGTTTAAACTGGTGGTGGTGGTAGTGGTGTCTGTAGGGTTTGTCTCACTGGAAGAAGTGGAGGGAACAGAGATATCAGCAGGGCTAGGGATGGCTGAGTGAGTAATGATGGAAGTAGAGTCCATGCAGTCGGTGGATGTTGGGCTTGTAGTGGCGGTGGTGGTGGAAGAGGTGGAGCTGGTGGGAGGAAGGGCAGAAGAGGCCGGAGAGGAGGAAGAGGTAATGGGGGCGTCAGGGGCATCAGGGGGTGGAGATGTTGTTTTAGTGACTGATGAAACTAAGGTTAGAGAACTGGCAGAGGTAACTGAAGTGGAATCATCACTAGCTTCAGTAACTGAATTGGTGGTAGTAGACATATCTGATACGCTGGTGGAGGGTAAAGAAGCTGCGGTGGTGAGAGAAATAGCTGCATCACCACCTGCAGCAGGAGCAGCATCAACTGAGAGAATGCCATTCGGCTCTGGGAGAGTCGATGAAGTTGACAGATTTGTTGATGTTGTGGAAACCGGGCTTTCATTGCTGGGAGCAGCAACGGTTTCTGAGATGGTAATGGAAGGCGTAGTTATCGTTGAGCTGGAAGTGACAGAGAGGCTTGGAGTAATGGAAGTGGAAGTAACTGAGACAGTGGCGGGGGGCTCTGTGGGTGTAGTGGTGCTCGTAAGGGTTGTCAGAAAGGTAGTGGTGGGTTGTTCAGTGGTAGTGGCGTTAGTTTCGCTGATAGAAGGTGTGTTGTCGAGCTCTGTAACATTCGTGGGTGTTGTAGCTGCTGCAGCGGGGTTAACAGAGTCAGTGCATATATCTGTGTCAGAGGGCAGTACAGTACTTGAAGGGGAAATTGTAAAATCGGTTGAGTCAGGGACTGAGTTTGAGATTGTTGGTACAGAAGGGGTGGTGGTGTCAGTGAGGGCAGGAGCAGCCGGGGTAGATGGAGCTGCAGTTGGACTCGATTTAGTGGGCGTGTTTGTCTCCCCTTCCTGTATTTGGGCTAGCTCGTTCTCAGGTGTGTTGCGGCCAGATGTTGTCGGGGGTGGACCCGGCTTGAGAACTGGCTTTGGAAGCAAAGCAGGTTTCCCAGCTGACTCATGTGCTGACACACTTGGGCGAATTTGATGCCTTGTGTCTATGAAAAGAAAAATAAAATGATGCAAATGATTTAGCCTGTGATACTGGACATGAGAGAGTGAATGTGTGTGTGTGTGTGTTTTACCTGATGACGCAGACATCGTTCGAGGTTTTGTGAAAGTAGGTGGTGGCTCAGGTTTACTGTCAATGATAGTACCTGAGGCACAAAGATCATTTACATCTTATTTTACCAGAGGAATTAATTCACTATTATGTCCCTATAATGGATAGAGAACAGTCTTATCAGCCCAAAGAGCTATTAAATCCTTATAATGGAGAAAATGATCCATGTCAAAAAGCCTCTTCTTCTGATACAAATTCCTGAACTTCAAAGATTAATTTTGCTTCATTAACACTAAGCTAGAGCAGAGAGAGTTTGATCATATCAAACATCAAATAGATAAAAGGACATACCTTCAGATTCTGCTTTTTTCATCTCTCCCTCCTGATTCTACAAGAATAAAACAGGTATTTAAACACATGTGAAGACTCCTACAGTAACTAAATTCACCAGACATCCACATTCACATACCTGGGTCTCTCCTGGCTGGGCTTTGGAAACTCCAATGCGTTGGAGCATGAGATGGAGTTTCTGTTCAAAGCTATGTTGGCCTTCGAATTGCTTCTGAAATCAGGAACAGCAGATTAATGAGGGCTCTTCAAAACGTATCTACTGATATCTAAATGTATGTATGAATTAAACTCTACCAGCACTGACCTTTGCAGTGTTTCTGGCATTAGTAGTCCCTGCTGCTGATCCAGACAGCAAAATGAGAGACTGGGACTTCCCCTCTCTGAGAGCTCGGCGGGGAGGCACCGCTTCTCCCCTCAGTGGCGGAGCACCAGAAACAGGTGTCTCCTGAACAGCTGACTCTCCAGTAAGAGCGCTGGGATGTTCCTTCGCTTTCTCCTTTTCATTTTCCTTGTCATGTTCCTTCACTCGGTCCTTTTCCTTTTCTTTCTCGGCTCTGGCGACCTCCCTGAGCGGGCGGATGAAATCAGCGATAGAGGCCTTTTTGGGACGTCCCTCTTGGCTCGGTTCTGACTTCAGGCCTCGTCTCTTTTTGAGAGTAAAGAAATCACCGAGCTTCCTCCTGAGTGTTTTTGTCGGGGGTGGACAAGGGACAGCGCTGGCAGGAGCCACTTCGTGCACTGTGATAGATTCCTCATCTTGCTTTTTTCTATATGAGGGATCATATATCAAATCAATACAGTGTGTCTTTAGTATAAGTTTATCAAAGCAGTGTGTCAGGATCTAGATCCAAATATTAAGGAACTATAAAGTTGCTTATTTGGCAGCGGGTGATACTCACAGTGTATCAGTAGGAAGTACTCTCTTAGTAAAGAACTCTTCAACTCCTTCATCCACCCTCCCCATGAGCTCAAGTACTTCATTGTCACTTTCAATTATTGTCTCCTAATTACCAAACACATGCACAGAAAGCACAAACATTTTACACCAAAGATCAAACAAACTGATGTTGAAGAGAAACTTGAATCACACGTAACTTTACATTACATAAGCCTCACCTCGGAAAAACCCACACACTCTGGCACTAGTGTTTCTTCTGCCTCTATAGGTATATTTTGGTTTGAATCTCTCATCCAGTCATGCTACAAACCAGTCTCCTGGGAGTCAGTTGCTCAGTAACGTACAATGGGGGGGCGTCACTGGATTTAACATGCAGAATGAAAGCAGGATAACTCATTTTGCCAATGTAGGTAATGTGATATCGAAATTGCAGCTGTACAGCGTTGCATCATCCTGATCATATTAACATCTGTGCCCACAAGTAGCAATAAAAGCCAGGAGGTTGACTGCAGAACACAAATTTAGCAGAAGTCACCGTTACATGATCTGCTGTCAGGGGAATTTCGTGAATTTTGTCTCCCTGGCCATTGGCTCCAAGGGAGTGACTATATGCCTACAGCCTAATAGCTCTGTGACAACATGATCAGCTCAGTGGAAAATGGAGATGATCACTAGATGTTGATACAATCCTGTGGAAAAAATACAAATGCCACAAGCTTTTTTTTAAAAGAGAGAGCAAGAGAAGACATTCAGTCTAATACCAAGTGTGGCTTCTCCAAACAGCCGGTGACCAGTACAATGGGACTGCCTTATTCAAGCAGGGACCAGGCATCTTTTACAGCACTCCCCCTCTGTCCTTCCCTTCCCCCTGCCTCTCCCCTCTGTACCCTATTACATCTCTCCTCTCTCCCTCCCTTCCATTTTCTCTCCTCACACACACACACACACACACACACACCACCTTTTCCCTCACACTCCATTTTTACAAAACCTCTCTGATCCTCCTTCACAGTACCTGCGGTCTGTTGGGACGATAGTTCAGTTTTTGTCGGTGAGGTCTCGGTCTGCTCTGGGTGTAGTGCCTGAGCGCTGGTCCGCCCAATGGCAGCTCCATTGGGGAGACACGGCACGCTGTTGCCGTGGAGCTCTGTTGCCGTGGCTCTGTTGCTGAGGCACCGTTGCTAAGAGCACGAGCACCAGCAGTATGTAATGCCTCCACTGAGGTAGGAGGGGCCAGGCTGGCGAGACTGACAGATTTGACAACAGAACCTCGCCTTTCTCTGCTCCCCCCCCCTCCCCTCTGAGAGGAGAACCATGAGAAAAAGATGATGATAAAATAAGAAGAGGCAGAGAGAGAGAGAGGAATAAAGTGACCACGCTCACATTTGTTTCATCCATGCATCCCAGCCTTTGACAAGTGCATATATATGAATATACTGCAATGGAAATAGCTGAAATGAACAAAATGTTCTATTGGTTATGTAATAAATTAATAATTTATTTTATATGCGGAAAAGATGCTCTGAAATGCTGAAAGTGACAGGCTGGGCTGGTAGATTCTTTGATATTCTTTGAGTGTACAAATACACACCCTGGTATTCCTATAAATTTCCAAGCAACGTGTCTCACCAATACTAGAGGAGACTGTCCTAAATAGCCTTGAGAGGGTTGTCAGAGACCTTGATAATGAACCATATGACCTGCTCAGAAACTGAAAAATAAGTCACAGGCACCGGCAAACCAAGCACCAATTTCTATGTATCTTTTCTCTGAGGGCTTTTGTTGCAAAGTTTATGGGAATTGTGTTTCCTGGTTAAATATTTGATATTCAAACCAGGAAAGCTGATGGTTCGAAGCACTTTATTTTCAGTTCTTTATGTAGTATTTACATATTTCAAGGAAACGCTGTTAGGACTGTTAGGAGGTTGTTATGAGCGGTTAACTCTCAACACAACATAACAACCTACAAAACTTTCCACTTATGAACACAACCCAGGTTTTCCATGTGGAGTAACATGACATCAGCTAATTTAGCACTAGGGTGGAGAAGAATATATCCACAGTAGGTTATTGATACCAAAAGCAAAAATGTTTATGGTTATGAATGTAATTCTCAAGTTCGATCACACTGGTTTTATGAAGCTTGTCTTTTATGTTAATTAAATCTTGCCTATGCTTGTAAAGATGCTCATGTATCCCAGTGAATTGTGTTTTTGTTGACCGATAAGATGACAAAAGGTTAAATAAAACTGTAAGATAGGGGAATGATGTGCAACAAAAGTGCCCAACCAGACTTGAACCAGTGGTGGTTCATGGTCAATCTGGTGAAATGTTGATACTTATCTTTTAGATCATGAGGACATTTTTGTTAATATATGATAAATTCATTCAGAGCCAGTCTTTTTGTTTTGTTTGCCTGTACAGTGCTTTAATTGTTATTGTTTTATCTACAGTATATGTGCGTTACGATGTGTCATGTCAGTGTATTGTGATGAGTATTGTCACCATGTAAACTGTGTGGACCCCAGGAAGAATAGCGAATGTTATACAGAAGCTAATTGGGATCTTAATAAACAAACAAATAAACAAACAAACAAACCTGTGTCCCACATTGTTTCAGTTTTGTGTAGCTTTTTCCTAATTAAACATGTTTAACAATGTTACCAAACAGTAAATCTGGGACCAGGAAGTGTCATAAAAAAGTGTCCAGAAGTCTAATGTGGCTGTTTGGACAGATTATACTCCAGTTTTCTGCAGTTTGGCAACCCAACATCACTAATACAGTTGATTATTTGGATATAAAAATCTCACCTTCAATCTACACAGTGACACAATTGATGCAATCACGACTATCTGTGTGTAGTGAGGCCCGCCCTACACCTACAACACCCATACTGCCCTCTTGTGACTGCTTTTATCAACTACTTTGAGTCACAAAATGTTCCTTGTAGCCTCTTTTCAACAATGGCTAGAACTGGTTGGAGGACCGGAAGTCAATCTCGGGCCAAAGTAATCTGCACCTCTCATCAGAAACCTAATCAATAATCACTCAGTTCTATCGATCACCCTCGACATGATTGAGGACGCCACGCCCACGCCTGAATTCAAATCTGGCGCCCATCACCCCCAGCCGCGGCTCGACCACTCCCCTTTACTCCCCTGGGAGCTCGGGTTGCGCAGGCGCGTTAGCTCTTGAGGGCCGCCATTTTGTGTAAGGCCCACTCTTCCAAAGCGGGAGAAAATTATTAGTCCGGCGCTCAACACGTACGGACGGCCACAGCGGGATTGAAGGGAGCGACCACAGACACAGAGCATCCAAGTGAATATAACGAGGGAGAGAAGCAGTCGGGAGTAAGTGAAGCTGTTACTTTGCCTCCAAACACGGAAACGTTTTTGTAGGAGCCGTCGTCGGCCTCTAGGTGTCACGGTAGGGCTTACCGGGCAGGCGGCTGGCGGGGGGTGTTTGTCTCCCTCTATCGTTGTCCAAAATGCACTAAATCCGTCTATAAACTCTAACTACCGGTCACAGTTGAGCGTTTTGGTGCTATGTGGCTGATATTTTGTGGTATTTGCAGAGGGATGGCGGTATTTCTGAGTATTTCTGTTTTAAGTTAGTTCAGGCCTGTCGTCCATCTTATCGTGCCCTTTGTTTCCTGTTTTCAGACGTACTCGCGCCTCCCGAGTTAACTAACACGAGTTGGATGTTTTAAGTAGTTTGTTTTCGTTTTAACCGTGTGTAATATTGCACTGCTAGACTGTGAACTACAAACAACATGTTATAGATTAGGTGTTCTTAAAACTGTCGACCGACGGACGATATTATTGATTGATCGACTGATTGTGAAAGCTAAAAATGGCAAACACAGGCAACTCATCAATATCTAGTCAGCACAGGAAGCCCTTCACGGCCACTTTGCAAAAGTTTCCCTCACTTTCAGGATATACTATAGTGGTATAATGTATGATAAACTCACACGGGTTGCTTCTTCACAGCACACTGTTCACACACTAATCTCCAGGTACTACTTTATCTGACTCGTACTCAGCGCTACCCTGGCTTTCTCTGATGTGTACCGAGATATTTTATATAAAACTCACTGTAAACCAGGCTAATTGTACTCCTGTTGGTGCATCGCGGGACATAGATATTATAGATAAATGCTGTGGTGGAGCGACATTATCTGTTTGGCTTGAATATAACATTAAAAAGTACAATAAAGTTTGACCCAGTTTTCTACTACTGCAACCAGCAATCACTTGTTTGAACTTTTTATGCTACTACGTATACGGACAGGTAAATTAAAGATTTGATCATTCATACTGTAAGGACTTGTAGTTGGAGGGTTTATTAGATCCACACTAATTGTAAGGGATGCAAAAATAGTTGATTAGGTCAATAAATGCAAAACTAATCACTCAAAATGACAAAAACACCCTGGGCCTTTCTGGGATTTTAGAAACACCTACAGTGGATAGGACTACTACCATCCCATCAGGGGTGAAAGGAAGTGCAGTCTAATTTGTTGAGCTCATTACATTTTAAAAACCCAACTACTCAATTTCCTGGTTAATCAGGATCATCCCCTGCAGCAGGCAGTCCACATTGTCTGTGGAGATGTATGTTTGTGTTGAGCATTTTTGGTAGTTTGGTAATTGTCTTGACCCCTGTTGTATTGGGGTGGCAGCTGTTTCAACATAGGATGTCTCAAAAACACAGCAAATAATGACTTGATGCTACAGGGGGCATGTGAGGACAAACAAGGGGAGTTTGTAAGATTAATAATTCATTGGTTTACCATACCCCACTTTTAACGTGGGCAAGAAAACGCCCCATGCAGGTCCACCATAAACATGTTTACAGTAAAACAAAGGCTAAGGCCTATCGACAGTTTAGAATCATTGATACATTTGTACCCAAATGTTGTCACAGCGTGAAACATTTTCAAGAGCTGGTTCAGAAATGAGTTCATATATAATTGAGTTAAGCAAAAATGTCCTGGCAAGTGATCTTGAGGCGGTGAATAAAATTAATACATACACACATTTTCAGCTGTGTATTTTTGTTCTTAAAACTGAATTTTCCCCCACGTGTGTTCTTCTCAGTTTTTGATAAATGTCTTTTCTATTAAGGACGTTGGTTGACCTGTCGCCATGGAGGGCGAGGTTGTTTCCATAGAGACCACTGCAGCTGATGGAAAGCTCCTGCCAGAAGGCGGAGAGGCCTTGATGCAAGGGGCACCCATTGCCCAACAGGGGGAGGTGACTGGTAACATGGAGATGATGGTGATGGACGCTCTCGACCCGACTCTGCTGCAAATGAAGACGGAGGTGTTGGAGGGTGGTGGCACAGTGACAGTTACTGGTGGAGATGAGGGTCAAATCATCACACTCCAGGTTTGTTTAAAACACGGGTTGAGCAAATGTTTGAAGTAAAATGGCTGTGTTGAAGAAAAGGGAAAAAAAAAAAACATTTTCTCACTTTAAGATCAAGTTGAAAAAGTTTTTTTTTTCCTCTCCCTCCATGTAGGTGGTGAATATGGAGGAGCAGACAGGAGCTGCATTAGGTCTTGGTCAACTTCAGCTGGTGCAGGTACCTGTCACAACAGCAACTGTAGAGGGGCTTCAGGCCACCTATGTTGATGCGTCATCAGCTAACAAGGATGCAGAGCCGGTTATCTGTCACACTCTTCCCTTACCCGAAGGCTTTCAGGTGAGTAACGACTCTGGGCTTTTTTTAGTCATGTCCTCCACTTGGCATACTCTGTTAGCTCCTTTTGTCAAGAAGAGTCTGATCACAATAGGATGATTTGTAATGTTTTCTTTTTAGGTGGTAAAAGTGGGCGCCAATGGTGAGGTAGAGACTGTAGAGCAGGAGGAGCTCCAGGCAGCCCACGAAGAGCTACAAGGGACGAGGGCAGAGGAAGAAGAGGAACCAGACATGGAGCCCCCTGTGTCTCAGCAAGAAGACCCAGAATGGTCCAAGGACCCAGACTACCAGCCCATCACCGCTTTGCGCAAAGGAAAGAAAGGAGGAAAGAAGAGCCGCCTGCGCTACGGGGAGGGCGATCGTGACATGGATGTTTCTGTGTACGACTTTGAAGAAGAACAACAGGAGGGGCTGCTGTCGGAGGTTAATGCTGAGAAGGTTGTGGGCAACATGAAGCCACCAAAGCCCACCAAGATCAAGAAAAAAGGTTAGACTTTTTTCCTGCCTCCTAGACATGATGGTGAAGGGGACACATTTTTGGCCATGTGAAGTTCCTCTTTACAATCCTAAAAGGCGATTTTAAATGAATACATATGTCCCCTTTTTGTGTCTAGGTGTAAAGAAGACTTTCCAGTGTGAGCTGTGTAGCTACACCTGCCCAAGGCGCTCCAACCTGGACCGACACATGAAGAGCCACACAGATGAGAGACCACATAAATGTCACTTGTGTGGTCGGGCCTTTAGAACAGTCACACTGCTGAGAAACCATCTCAATACACACACAGGTAATGCAGAATTCATACTTAATGATTTTAAACCATTTTGGTATAGTTTGTAATATGACACAGAATATTATACCTCTGTGGTGATCCTCCATTGTCACTTCCTTCCATTTCTTTAGGCACTCGGCCGCATAAATGCACAGATTGTGACATGGCGTTTGTGACCAGTGGTGAGTTGGTGCGTCACCGTCGCTACAAACACACACACGAGAAGCCCTTCAAGTGCTCCATGTGCGACTACTGCAGTGTCGAGGTAAGTAATCAAATCTCACAATCTGTAATTCTCCCTATACACACTTTGGGGTATGTTCTTATTTTAATGCCTCTGTCTGTCTTTTTCTAGGTTAGCAAGCTGAAAAGACACATCCGGTCTCATACAGGGGAGCGTCCCTTCCAGTGCAGTCTGTGCAGCTATGCTAGCAGAGACACGTACAAGCTGAAGAGACACATGAGGACACATTCAGGTAACATACTTGCATCATCTATTGGCCGAAAGATGGTTAACCCTAATTTTTAGAACAGTACCTTGATAAATTCTCTCCTCCTTTTTTGATGCAGGTGAAAAGCCGTACGAGTGCTACATCTGCCATGCCCGTTTCACACAGAGCGGCACCATGAAGATGCATATTCTGCAGAAACACACAGAGAACGTGGCAAAGTTCCACTGCCCACACTGTGATACTGTCATTGCACGGAAGAGTGACCTTGGTAAGTTGGGTTATTGCCACTTTTAATTTGTCATTAAAGTGATCAGAGGGAGCAGAAGAAGCCTTTTTATGATACAAGAGCTGTGAAGGCTGGTTTTAATGTGGGTGTGTAGAGCCCAAGACCCTGAAGTATGTCCATGTAGATGATTGTAAGAGAAATCATGTGTCATCACATCATGTAAACGTTGTGTACACTTGCTATTCCCTGCTATTGGTATATTTTTATATGTAAACATGATCATTAAAGAGAGTGAATAATCTGTATGTATTGAATTGGAAGGCTTTGGCAGTTTTTTAAATCTTTATCCATACATTAGGCCAAATCTGATTTATCAAGCTGATGTTCATGTCTTTGTTGTTTTCTATTCCAGGTGTTCACTTGAGGAAGCAGCACTCGTTTATTGAGAAGGGAAAGAAATGTCGTTACTGTGATGCTGTGTTTCACGAGCGATATGCTCTGATCCAACACCAGAAGACCCACAAAAATGAGAAGCGTTTCAAGTGTGAACAGTGTGACTACTGCTGCAGACAGGTGTGTGTCAGAGGAATATGAAGAATGCGTGTGGTGTTCATTTATTTATTTTCATGCTAAATTGTATATTTTTGTCTGACCTAGGAACGCCACATGATAATGCACAAGCGTACACACACTGGGGAGAAGCCGTTCGCCTGCAGCCAGTGTGAGAAAACATTCCGGCAGAAGCAGCTTCTGGACATGCACTTCAAGCGCTACCATGATCCCAACTTTGTCCCCACTGCCTTTGTCTGCAGCAAGTGTAACAAGACCTTCACCCGCAGGGTAGGACTGAGTTTTACCACACACATCATTTTTTATGACTTTGCATCTGTAACAGTGGTTGCAGTCTTCACTGCTTATGTTAGTCTGTCCAGACATGGTTATTAACTTGGTTTGTAATATGTCTGCGCTCCACAGAACACTATGCTGCGTCATACCGATAACTGCACGGGTGAAGTTGTGGATGAC